GCTGAACCTGATGCGCTCTGTTCTCTGGAAACAGGAATAATGCTGAAAATATTACCAACATTAATACATATACAGGTAAAGGTTTTCACAGGGGGCACAAAGAAAAAGGTGGTGCAATCTCAGTGAAATTTAAAACAAAGAATATGCTCCCTTTGGAGTTCCTATCCCTTGGAAATTCCAACCTTAAACAGTTTAATTCTAATGTTTCACCCTCAGATCAATATCGTATGACTTGAGCTGGAAGAAAATGTTTTTTGGAGATGGACATTAGCATTTTATATAGTTCAGTCCTCTCAGTCTTGCATATACTGTCTTTAAAGAAGTAAAGTAAGTCCGTTCTATAGGTTCTATTCTTGCTAAAATCATTTCTGCACTGGTAGGGTCTGGGTCACAACTTTATTTTCACAAAAGATGACGAAACGATTCTAAATGTCTTACCTAACACCAGGAAAATCAAACTGTGACAGCACCGGTTTCAGGTAGTCTTCCATAATTTCTAATATTTCAGAGAAATCTGATGTAAAATCCTGTCCATTTGCATCTATTTTTCCTGTGGGAGACTATCACACAATAAAAAATAGAATACTTACAAAATGGTATTTAACAAGGACCGAAGGTGTAATACAGTAAATCAAGGCTATATCAGATTAATTTAAACACCATACAGTGGAAAATTCAAATATACCAAATCCATTTCAAAAAACCTAAGCGTGAACACCTTCATATACTCTAATGGAGCCAAAATTAATGTCAACGAGAACGCTGTGGGACACAGACTTACACACTGAACGTGCAGAACACTTTCTGTGATCTCGCAGCTTATGCAAAAGTCACAGGCTCTTCCAGCGTGCCTTTACACTACACAATGAGCTGTCCACTGGCTGTAAAGACAGTCTTTACAGAACTGAAGCCTCTTACGGTAACAGAAAACTTTCATCATCTAGAAGTCAAAAGTGTTCAAAGCCACAGATATAATCTTGACGGTCCAATGAGGTATGTCCTTGAAGCAAAATCTTGAGGCTAACTGACTCGGGTCGCCTGCACTCAAAGAAGCAGTTACACTAAAGGAGATACCCCGTGCCCTGGAAAGAAAATGTCCCGTGTTGGAAACTGATAATAATTCCCCGACTAAGAGTGATTTATTTTGATAAAAGGGTTGGGTTCTACGATCAACGTTCTCTTCTTGGGACACCTGGGGCTCTCCTGTGATATCTTTTCCTATATCTAGAACTAAGGGTATGAAAGCCAGTGTACAAAATGCAAATCTTAAGAGGCACAGTACTTCATTTTTGAGTAAATTGGTCTCAGTTGTATCAACTCTCCACTACAGTAAACTACAGAACATTTCAAAGCTTTTGAATGACATATTGAAATAACAGCAGAATATAGTAAGATTACAGTTTTAAGCAGAGCACAGACAGGATTTATTAACTCACGAAGCCCGGAGATATTGCATTTGGAATAAACTGCAAATTTATATATACAGTGTTTCTGACAGTTTTTAGGACATGTTTTTTATCCTATTTCAAAGGTAAGATAATCAAATATATCACCTCATCTACTTTGGAGACACACTCTTGCAAGTTTTGAATGACAGTCTGTTTAAGGAGACTATCCATCTTTTGCTGCTTGTAAAGACGCGCTTTTTCCAACAACATGTGAAATATATCAGGATTCACGGGAAATCGAGAAACTTTAGCTTGCACTATTAAAAGGAGGAAAATAACACTGTAAGACATTTTCTTTTTAAATCATCATATTTCTACTTGAAGGAACAGTCGCAGAGGCACACCCAATATCTAAAACAATATTTCCTGGCATTCCCTGAAAAATGAAATAACAGTTTACATATTTTACTTAGCACAAAATCTGTACAGAAATATTCAGTGAAAAAAATCTCTTGATAATTATTTATCTATAACAACTTCAGCCTTCAAATATCAATATAAATTCTGTAAATTCACATGGTACATGGTATCTGATTATGAAACACACAATATATTCCACATTTTATATTCCTAAATATAACAGGCACTTACCCATTGGCGGAGTAGGTTTTCCTTTTTGTTGTGCAGGACTTACTTTTGGTTTCTCAATCAATGCACTGTACAAGTTTGATCTACGGAAAGCAGAAAAATGGTGAGTAGATTATTTGGCTATTTAGCCTTAGTTGTATGAAACACTTTTATCTGCTACTGATAATTTAATCTGCTCAAATACACACTCAAGACGAATTATTTATCCCCAGTTTGGGGTGCCAAATTTGCAAAATCTAATGGGAACAAACAGAAGGATATAAGGAAAGCTCTTTTGTTGCTGTATGTGCAGTAAGGGATGTTTTTGTTTGCTTTTCCATGACAGTCGTTTAAGACTTTTCACGGTTGCTGAAGGCACACACGCTGTCAGTTAGGACAGCTCAGTGTATGAGTGATCACCAGTTAGGGCTGCAATAACCACATCATTTGTGGCTTTATAAACCTAAGTACGACTCCTCCTAACATTTGCAAGGGCATAAAGAATGAGAGTTGGAAACTATAAACAGAATTTAGGAGACCAAAAAAAGGAGCCAAAATCTTTAAAGTTCTCTATGGCTGGAGAATAAAGAGATAATTGTGGAAATCAAAAGCACAGAAACAGTTATAAGTAAAGGCTTGAGTTGCCTGCAGATTTTTTTTTATTAATTTGTTCACTATCCTAAAATTTAAATCCAGCAAAATCATAAGCAAAAGGTAATAAACATCAGTATAGTGTTTATTGACTGGTATAGAAAGATGACATTTGTACCAAACAAAATAAGTTGAAATTAAGACATTTTATACCTGTCTTCTGAAAGCTGGAGAATAACTATGTAAAAATTAGGTGGCAATTCATTCACGATGTTAAAATGTTCCACAGGAATACAGAGATGTCTCCATGCCTGCAGAGCAAATCACAAGTAACGTTAGTTTCACGCGTTCTACGACCCACTGCCTCAATTCTTCCACAAGAAAACTGGTAATTCTAGAAAAGAGGGTGCTGATACTTGAAAATTAACACTCAGAGAATATATTTTTCTGCAGTGCAGAAGAGATCAGAAATATTACCCTAAACAAATTACAAATAGCTGTAGTTAACTTTGTCCACTCTTGATAACAACATGATCTTTTTGGCTGCTAGGCTACCGATGATAAAATTTTATCAAATACTAATTCGAATATTAGCAAAGGAGGGAGCAGAATAACTCAACATGACATCCATGTTCATAAAAGTCCTTCACGATTTTGTGAAGAACAGATACTTCACCAAAAGGAACTATATAAAATATCATACCTATTGCTAAAGAAGATATAACTGTGTTTGAGAAAACAGCCAAAAAACGCAAGTGATATGACTAAACCCAGAATCCAGTCTCCAGGTGAAATACTGGTCCTAACAGAGAAAGTACCGTAAATGCCTTTGATGCAGTTAAGTTTAAGCGTATGTGTTTACGCGTTCTTCAGGTCCAAGTCTTCCAGGTGCTCAGGCAAACCCCCGCTAACCTGCTCTCGCTACATCTACACCATCGAGAGGGAGAGACCGGCAGGAGCAGAACTGTGCACTATCTACTTTTCAATGATTTTTACTCCCGAGTAACTCTAGACTGGTCCTCTAGACTAAATGCCCATTTGTGGCTGGCGTGCATCAGGCATCCCGTTTAGGTTTGGCTAGAAGGAATCCAGCTCACGCGCTCACTGCTCCACAATACAAACCAAGCCCAGGAAGTGAGAACAACTGGGAGGTTCACTTTGAAAGTGCGCTCCTGCTCTGAACTAAAAACCACCAATATACTTTAAAAAACACTAATGTACCCTCAGAGAGCACGGCTTCAGCGGCCGCTATGGTTTCTCGCATCTCACGCTGCCTGAAGTCACGCAGCTTAACAGTGCAGATACAAACAGACGTCTGGACTGACACCTGTCTTCCCTGAGCTACTGCGGCAGACGCAGTTGCTGTTGCTCAGTCTTTTCAGGTTGGGCACCTGCTACCTTTCAGATGATTACAGCAACTCAAAAACAGTGTCTTTAAACAAAATATTATCTTACTCCCTCTGCTAAATAATACAGAACATACAGAAAAGAGCCAAAATAAATAGCCTACAAACATGAATTTTTCTCATGTCTTACTGTATCTCTGCTTGCCGCATTTTATCAGTTCTCCTTGACATGCCCAATCCCCAGCAGCTAATCCTTTGTATCTAACTTCCTGGCAGTTTTTAACATCATTCAGTCTCTGCACCTCTGTAACCCGAGGGTCTTCCAAGGTTAGTTTTGGTATCCACTTCTGTATCTCAGACATTTGAAGAACAGACATTCTTTCAGCCAGTATAGACCCAAAGACAGAGTATTTCTCTCCCAGAAAAGTTTAAAACACGATTTGCTCCAGAACTGTGCTTCATGAATTACGTTTTTACTGGTTAGTTTATTTAAATACCTGGTTCGCAACATCACAGTTCAGATGATGCCCAGAAACTCATGAACAGTTTGTTTAAAAACAGAACAAAACAAAACACAAACTAATTTATTGGCATCTTTTCATAGAGTAACACTTGCACGGGGAACAAGGTTTCTCAAGCAGGATGGTCAGTTACTGTCTGGACGGTGACGGGAGTCTCTGTTGCAAGGGTCCTTTGCAACGATACCTTCAGCTGGAGTGGATGGTTCAGTGCACAATGATTTCAATGTATTGTGTATGCAGACAGGCACAACTCCAACATCTAGCTACACCAAAAGAGTAACTGTAGGACAAGCCTGACTTTCATCCTTATAACTTTCATCACTTTCTATTCATCACTTCTAACTGAAATTACATAGCTTTTGCCACATAGATAACCTATTACAAGCAAAACCACAGGATAACACGTGCCATGCTCATAAAACCAGTATTTCAGTTCATGGCCGCATCAATCAAGTCAATACTTCAAATTCAATGCTTCAAATTAGGAAAAAAAAAAAATGTTTAACAGAGTCCAAAGTAATCAGACAAATATTATTTAATTCCAGGAATAACTGTAACTACATATAGCTCATATACATATGTCTGTATGTGGGCATGTATCTGTATAACATACATATAAGCCTCTCATAAGTAGCACTACTCAAAAAGTTACCCTTGAAATAGCAGTCAGTTGCTGTTCCACATTTTTTAGAAGATCACTTGTATTTCTGTTTCGTTTTAAGTGATTCTGAAGATGCAATAACGCTGCCAGCTGAGAGCTGCTGGTGTTAGAAGTAGCTGTTAGAAGGATATTCCTCATCATCATGGATGCTGAACAGCTCTGTAAAATATTTATATTAGTTTATTTCTCCCCACCGAAATGCATACGTGTATCTGCATAGATATGTTAAAGAAATAGCCTGTTGGTTAGAAAGTGAAATGAACCAGCAAAAGCATGCCTGTTATCGATGTTTACAATATAACGCAAAAAGTTTGGCAATAACTTATGACAATTTCTTAAAAATTAGTAGCTAGAACTGATGACTTTGTCTGCCTTTCTTATGTATGTTCCCGCACTCACGAAAGTCATGGAAGCTCTGAATGGACAGGCAAGCGCCCACGTGCCGGACTCAGTCGTCCAAGCAGGCTAAATCTTTTCCGTGCTTCTGCAAGGGCAATACTGGCCTTTTACTATATTAGCTGTCACATCCCTTGTTTTAACAGATTTCCCACAAAGCGCGGTCTGAAGTGTAAGACTTTACATTCTTTTCTTCCAGCAAACCTCCCAATCCATCTGAAGAGCTGATCATTACATTTTTCCTAAGCACCCTTAAAATAAATGCTCGCTTGGGGAGCTGAGCCTTTTTTTTTTTCTATTAAGGCAGCCGTCACATTAAGAAGAATGCAATTTGGTTGCCCTAATCAACAATTCCAAAGGGAGGCTGAGGATTGACATCAACTGATACAATTTTGTGATAGTTTAAACTTTTTTATTTCCAAACCTTTTTGGATGAGATAGTAATTGAATTAGCAGAACTTTTTGCCCAGTAAAAGACACGGCTACTCGTGGTTTTGGGGCCTCCTAACGCTTTCTACTTTGCTTGTTCACAATCAAGTATGACAGCAAACCACAAACATATGGGAGTTTTGCAAGAGTACAGGAACAAAGGACTGAAGCGTGAACTCCTGTATTAGCTGTTTTCTGACTCTCCAGAAGACTGCCCGTTTTGTTCCACACACGCAGGTGGAGGTATCTGCAAATCTAAGCGTTGCCACACAGGCAGCTGCTTGCTGTTTGCCATAATCTCCTGTCGCCGCCTCCATGTGGGAGGAAGAAAGTTGGTGGAAAAGGCATTTCTATACTCCTGCAATGGAGACGACGGTGTAGGAAGCATTATTTGCTCCTGAAATAGGGACTAGGAGGCGCACAGCATTCCTCATCTTCTCTGTGATGAAGGCACACACTGACACGAATGATTCACGTGCCCTTGAGCCATCTACAGGACCGTGCTGCGTAGATGTTCATTTGAACATTTGATTGAACTATTTTCCTATCTCTTTCAAAAGAATGAATGAAGAAATCCAGAGAACCATTTTTTAAATCACTTGTCAGGGAAGGATGAAACTTTATCTTGCGATAATATCTTACTCTAGCTAAATACAGTATGATAATTTATTCATATTAAAATATTTACGTGAATGCAACCATTAACGAAAACTTCGAGTCAAACGACAAATACTAGAACTGTCAAAACGCCACTCACCAGATGTTCTGGACAGTCAGCAAATATGCTTACAAATGTAAAATAAATTATTATTCTATAGTATATATGTCTCTATATCTACACGTATATAAAACTCATAATACAATACACAAACAATATATATATAAAATGCATTGTTACATTTAATTACCTATTTTTAAAAAAGCTGGTTCTTATACAGTGAATTAATGATCAATTATTAGGCAATATGAATAGACATTTTTGCTTATCTAACTCAAAACTCTTCTGTACTGGAAAGATGTATAGTTCCTTAGTTGCATTACCTGATGAAGGGCCAAAAACTGGCTTGCTGAAACTGGATCGAACTGCCCGAAGCATTCAACCATTTCAAGACTAGCAGGAGCCAACACATCAATAACGTTATGGCGGAACGCAATGCCCATGCACTGCAGGAAAACGTCACTGGACTGAGAAAGATAATTCTGAGACAACCTATGTCTCTTCTAGACAATAAAAGAAAAGGCTTTATATTAAAATGTGCATTAATATTAAATATTTGCTATATGTATACAGATTACGAGTGTGTTAGAAAAGGTAAATACTTTTTTGGTGACAAGTTGTAATGCTTCTTCTTCATTTTGAGGCACTTAATGTATGTTCAAAGTATGTAAATAAACATATGAATTATTCTGTAGACATCAACATTTACTATATAATATTGAAAAACAAATGTTTTAAGAATTGTTAGAAGAGATATTTTCTCCAACATAAAACATGTACTGAGTGGAAGAGTATTTAAATTCCAGCCAGTGCGAGCTGTTCAGAACACAGCATGGACTGAATTTTCAGGCAATTCTCAGTACGGTTGTTTCTGTTAGCAGTAAATTCTATTTAATACAAATAAAACACAAATTTCTTAACATGGGTAGTTATTGATTATGCTCAATAAAAACACTACTAATTAGCAATACAAAATGTACACCCCAATTCCTGGTGTGCTTTGAGCTGCAGTATTTATAACAGAGCTCAGCTCAGCAAGTAATACAGCTTGAATTTTGTAAGAATTTTTATAGACGTTTTGTGATGGAAGGTATCTCTTTAATTTGTTTGTTCTTTGTTTGTAAAACGCTATGTTCCCCTAGAAAGGCATGGCTGTGCAGCAGAAAGCAAGGCTGCTCGTCCGTTTGGTCCTGGCTGCCAACACGGCTGGGTCAGTGGAAATCTAGAAAAGGGGAAATTCCTTGTTGGAATTTGGAAGCAAATGGGAAAACTCCACAGGAAGGATGTTCCACAGCATGTACTGAGAGGCAGGGGGGAGATACACAGCAGAATAGAGATGGAAAGGTGGTGTGGGGGTGAGTTTTTTCCTTTAACGCCAAATTTATAAGCTACAAACATTTCTACCATCTGTTCAAACAGAGCAAGGTGACTAATATTACTCTATGAAAAGGAAGCACTCAAATTATTATACAAGCAAAAAAGCTAAATACCTTTAATTCCTGTGTTTTCCCCCTGTATTTATCATGTTGAGATTTATTAGCTGATAAACTGCTGCTTGTCATTTCCCTTTCACTACGTTCTGCTGACATCAGGCAAGGTTTTGTGGTGCCCAATTTAGCTTCTTCCTACTCATCGTAGTAGAAAAAAGAATAATTAATCATTGCATTAAGTGTGGGAGGCTTCATTTCCAGGTGGAGTCCAGGTGAAGATGAAACTCACCTACCTTAAAAGAAGTCACCTCACTATATGAATCCCTTGTGGTGAGTGATTTAGCAATACGCTCAGGCATCAACATTTCTTAATATGTTATCATGATAACATGACTAACACTGGCTTGCAAGGCCCCCCATATAATCTCTGAGATTTTTCTTTTCTGATGTTTTTTCCTGAGTTCATTTCTTAATGAACAATTTAACTCACATTGAATCTGTAAGGAGTCAGCTTTCCCTTTCTTACGTGGTGTTCTTTGCACAATACAAGACTCGCTTTTCATATACAAGTCATTACGTTTTGTTTGCATGGATTCAGAGTCCCATCTCCCTAGCCCTTTAAGGCATTCAAGGAATTTTTAAATCTGTCTTCGACAAATATTGGAACTATCAAATCTCAGGGAAAAATAAAAAAATGATCAGTTATGATTATCTGAGACATGCCAAATACCTGAGGATGGCATGTAGGCAGAGGTGCTTTCCTGAAATTGCTTGTTTCAGGATATATATACCTATTATGACTTGCACGCAATCTGTAAAACCTAGCTTGAAATAAAGAGTAGTATTGTAAGAGCATATACAGAAAAATATTGTAGTAGATACATAGAGGAAATAATTTAAATATGTAAAAGAATGCATACCATAACATTTGGCTTCCAGTAGATCTCTGAATGCAGGGGATCCACATTAACAGCAAGTAAACGCAGAGTTTTTCCAGTGAGACACAGGCATTTGGATGTGATGTTAGGACAGCCGTTACAAAGCCTCTGTACGTGTGCTAACTGAGCCAGGGTAACATGACCTACGGTGTGTTCCATGTGCTTCCAGTTCTGGTAAAACATACAGACAGGATTATATGCCTATATGTGTATACACACACATATACACACATAGAGAAACATACTACATATTATTTTATATACAATACCTATATATATGCACATATACACATACAACATATTTGTTAACTTTGATTACACTTTCAACTACAAAATAGCTGTCTCGAAGAGATGTACAAATTCATCAGTGATTCACAAATGCAAACATAGGTATTTGCTTTCGATATGAAAGCTAACCATTATTTCTCTGCTTTACTCACGGACCCTTGTAATCGGGTACCCTTTAGATCTTTCAAAATTAAATTATTAAACTGGTTTTATTTTGAAGTTTTACTAAAAATTTTCCATGAAGGGAAATCCTTCTTTATGTACCTTTCTTCAGTTTGCCTCTTTAATGCAAACAGTTCAGATTCTGCATGGATTTTACAAACACAGATTTTACCACCAGGAGAAATGTTACGATAATCTGACCCGACCTGCACAATAACAGGCACAGAATTTCACCAAGTGACTCCTACAGCAAGCCTTGTCGGAGCTAATCTTTTAGGAAAACATACAATATTGATCTACAAATGTAAAGTGATAGAGAATTTGGAGAAGAGAAGGCTGCGGGGAGACGTTTATAACGTCATGAAGGCAGTCAGAGCTAGGAGAGCCCTTACTGTGAAATTAGTGGGAGACCCGTCTAAAACAGATAGGAGAAAGTACTTCTTTACACAGCGGTTAACTGCACATAGTGAACTTCCGGCATCTGCCATCACCACAGCGTGTGATGGTGGAAGCAGATATTATGAGCAGGTTTAAAAAAAAGAGTTAGATAGCCATGGAAGAAAGAGTTACTAACGGAAATAGGTGGGAAAGTACCCTGTAACATCCTTGAGCAAATGACTGCTGGCACTGGGCAGAGGACCGCAGAGAGCGATGGGGCTAACGTGCCCAACGTGCTTTCCTGTGGTGGCGTTCCCTATCGCCACGGTCAGAGACAGAACGCTGGGCAAGGATCACTGGCCTGATCTAGTGGGGCGTTTCTTAGCGCTAATTCATCAGCCCAGCTACTAAGCAGTTCTTAAAACCAACTCCTTTTTTCTTTCTTTACTGTTAAAAAGACGGGTACCTATATACAAGCGAAAAAGACGGTAATGTAAAAAACGCCAGTCCATTATGAAGCCTCACGTCATTTCCCTGCAACTCTTGCTCTTGCGAGTGGTCTTTCTGCCTGTGCATTTGGGAGACAAAATCTTTCCGAGCACAAAAAACAGCCCACCACAAAAACACACACTGGAACTTTCTTTGCTGCAGAACTAAACAAATGGCCTGGGGATCCCTTTCCTCACTGCTGGAAAAAGGTCTGCTAAGGAAAGCAACCCTATTCTATTACACCTTTTAAATGTAAATCATAGGAAGAAATATATTGTATTACCTGTTCTGTTGAATTATCTTCAGTTTTTACTCTGATGAATGCCTCCAAAATTTTATGGAATGATGTCTCTCCTACTTTTTTGAGTTTTTTTCCAGTACTAATAAGATGAAAAATATCCAGAAGAATTTCCACAAGTTTTAGCTTCCTGTTAGCCAGTTGTCTCATTAATGGGGTACTAATACTTGTAGTCTGAAATACAAAAAAAGGAAAGTAGAATTCTAATTTCAATTCTTTTTTGCAAATTTACCTGCTAAGAAGTTAGACTGTTGTATTTCTTTTAACTAAAGAAGCAAAAGTTTGAACAGTAACACCTCAATAGATCATAGATATTGCTATAAACATAATTAAATAACTTAGGAGATAAACTTCAATGTCAAATATATTACAAAGCAATGAGATTAGCTGCATGAAAGAACAACAGCCAAGTTTTGCTTTTCATGTTTTATGTCCTTGGTAAAAGCACACAATTCCAAAGGAGCTGCAAACGTGCACATAAAAACAGGATTTTAATATTACTGCTTTTGGTAGCAGTCTTTTCAAGCACAGAAGTATTCACCCTTTGAAAAGATAAACCAGAAGAAAAGCTAGAGGGTAGAGCATGAGCCTTTTCCTTACTCAAAATACACTAAGAATTTTGACCATGGGCTTTTTTTTTTAATGTAACGTTCTGTGTAATTATTTTTTTCTCCTGAGGAATATACACTTTACTGTGCAAAATTTTAAACATCTGAAGTATTTAGAGAACAAATTCATCAGAATATCTCCAAGTTTAAACTTCTTTTGTAGCTTTTACATGAATTTCAGAATTAAAAAAAAAAAGTGCCATAGACCAAACACATCTCTGTTTGCCTTCTATCCCTGCGTAAGCTGTAGTCTCTTCGTGAATGGAATGTTTCCTCCCGTATTTCTACAATGCCCATCACTACAGGAGGATAATCTCATTTGGGGCTCCAAGAATTATCTAAAAACATGCATAGTAAAACTAAAATCGATTTTTTTTCTCTTAATAGCAAAAAATATAGTCATACCTCATTGACTGCAAATAAGCTAGAAACATTATGAAACACTTCTTCTGCTTCAGAAACTGCCCTCTGGGCTAAGTTATAAGCATCTAGATAGTGACTATGCTTTTCTTCTTCATTTCTTGCCTGCTTAGCAATCATCCTGGAAAAAGCAGAGAACCAAAAGAGCTAATGCAAGAAGGTGTTTATTTTTACGAAACCCACAATATTCAATATATATGCTAAATAAGTTAAATTTGCACAGGTATTTTTAAGGGCTCAAACATGAAAGGGAAGTATTTACACATTGTTTTTCAAGGTCTTGCTCTGTGACCTGGTTAAGCCCCCTCTGCGCTGCTGCAGCACAGAAAGATGCCAGGACACCAACACAAAAGCCAGGCGCTGCTCCGGAGCAGGTGCTCACCAGGACACAGAGCCACCGCCGCCACCGCCTGGTCCCCAGAAGAGGGGGGCGTTTGGAAACAGCTGGGAGTCAAAGCATACCATGTTTTGTATTTTTGCCATTATAGCAATTTCCAGAGAACCATTTCAACAGCAAGAACTGTAAAAGTCTATAAATACTTGAGAATGATTGGTCTGGCTGCCACAATGCCCTCCTAGGTGACCGGAAGACAAAAAGCTGGCTTAGCGCCTTCGACACTGTTTTGATCTCAAAGGCAGCACAAATCACCAGCATGAAGTAAGATTAACTCTGCCTTCAGTGGAAAACATTTCTAATTCTGCAGTATCCACCTTTTATTGGAATTAAAAATGTAAATAATATACGTGGTGGATTAACTCAGTTTGAGGAAAATCTCTCATCCTAGGTATAACCTTACCTGTGAATGTTTGCACATTCTAGCAAGATCTCAGCACTGCAGTTTTTATACCCGTAACGGGAGAAGTCTTTCCCAATTTGAATAAGTTTATTATAAGGTTCCTGTAGCGTATGTGGTAACTGAGAAGACTCAGCATTAGCAGTCATATCACCTTGGGCAAAATGTATCTGAATAAGTGTTTTCCTAGAAACAAAAATTAAGTACAAGAGCTCAGTCACAGAGCACAGTTTGTGTTTGAAAATGGATAAATTTCTCTCTGCCCTCTTTTTTTACTATATAAATTACAATAAATCTGGAAGAAATCTCCTTATTCTTTAAATTTGTAATCTACACATTATAGTAGGTCCTGAAAAATATCATACATTATTTTTTCAGATTGCAACTGAGGCATCAGCTGTTAGATTTATCTAATTTTTCAGAGTCTAGTAGGCCTCATCAGTCTTCTAAGCACAGATGAATTGAGAAGACTATTAGTCTTTCCTTTCTAATACAAAAGTTTCAGATTTTTGGAAAGAGAAGGAAGCGCGAGTGCTGTATTTTTCCCTCTGTCTAAGCATGTAAAGCTGTCTAAGCATGTCCTCTTGAGCTACTGGGTTCAATTAACAAAACAAAGTCTCTACTTTGGATTTCAGCGTCACCAAACTCATTGTTTAGATTCAGCATATGAAGACTTTGATCACGGTAAGGAAAAGGCAGGCCAATGCTGCAAACCGCAGCAGCACTGTGGAAATAGCTGAGCTCAAACAGGGACCTCTGCATGGGGAAATTTATCTCGCTTCTTTGGGTAATCTACACTGCAAACTACTCACAACAGATTGTGGTATCTGAGCTACCTTAACTTCACAGTTCACAGGGCTACACACAAGAATGAAAAAATTAGAAAGGAAATTTAAATTTAAGAATAGCAGGGTAAGTAGAAATTACTTGGAAAAAAAGGCATTTGAGAACACACAGAATATACCGTACTCAAATGAAGGTGAATATTATATACCTTCAATGTAGCTGTATACTGGAGGCTGGACATACTTTAATAAAAAGATAGTTACCTGGCTTCAAGGGATGCAATTATAAAATGCAATTCAGATTCTCTGTTAGGTCTCTTCAGTAAAGTAGATCTGAGTACATTCACAGTGTGTTCCAAAATCCCACAAGCCTGCAGATAACAATTTTCATAATGTTATTTTTACAAGTCCATGCATAATATTAAACATTAATTCAGAAAGCTTGTGTTTCATTAAAAAAAGTATTTCATAGATGTTCATACATTTTATGTATTTTAATATAAAATGTAATTTTTTAAGATAGCTTGAGATATAATTGCAATCAGGTCTCTTGGTATGATTAAGGGGATGGAGCACATATGCCCAAGGAAAGGACAGCAAAGTTTGGCCTGTTCAGCCTGAAGAAGGCAAGGCTAAGAGGGGCACTTTATTTCTCTAAAAAAAAGGTAAAGAGAAGATGGAGTCAGCCTCTTCTTGGAGGTGCATAGCAACGAAGGAGGGTCAAAATACCCAACATGGAACAAGAGAAATTCCCAACACGTATTATGAAAAAAAAAAATTCCCCATGAGGGTGGCCAACACTGGAACACAAGCCCGGAGAGGCTGTGGTCTTTCCATTCTCAGAGATAGCTGAAACGTGACAATATATGACCCTGAACAACTTGATCCATCAGTGAGGTCAGATTTAACTTCAAAACTGGTCCTGCTCTGACTGGGGTAGGACCAGATGACCACTGACCTAAATAACTGTTTGATTCTATGATACTTCACAGGCATCCTCCTAGGGACAGATTCCTGCGTCCTTATTTGCACAGACTAGCATGTTAATATCCATAATTCAACCTTACGGTATCATAGCTTTGCCATCTGAGGATGTAAAAAAAGTCCCTGACTGACAGTTTTGAACGAAAAAGCCCCTTAGATGATGTTCAAAATGTCACCTACAGATTCGCCCATAATTAAAAATTTTGTTACTACAGCGATACTGGTTGGAAGCACTGAAAAAAAAAACACTTCACTAATAGCTATCCTGCTAAAAATCGCAGTAAATACTCTCACTAGGTAACTAGGTATTTCTGCCTTTTAATTATTGTAAGATCGTCCCAAAACACACTAACCTCTTTATACAGGAGAGGCTTGCACAGATTATCAGTAAAGGACAGAACATCACAGGCACAACAGCACTATCTTAGCGCGGAAAGCCATGAAAGTTGAGGGGTTATATAATTCCTGTAGTTATCTTTCAGGGTCTAAAAATAAGTATTTGAACTAGCACATACTAGGAAATAATACTGAAAGATATAGTCTTTATTAAATATGGAAAATAAACACACGTCAATGTTAACAGACTTGTCTGTCTACAAGTAATAAAAGCATTCTAGCCAAGAGAATCAGATCACGAGAATTTTAGTTTTACATACGAGATTACAACTGCTGTTATTTTGATAGAAGGACACACAACTTAGCACAAACATGTTAAACTTTTGCGGGTAAAGTCTTGTTCTTTCTGGTTTACATCTGTCTGAAATCTGTAGCTAATGTTTTCTGAATGCATAACAGAGAAAATACTAAACGCCATATTTTTGTTTTTATTGAAATGCAAAGGGGATAACATTTCTCGTCACTGAAAGCTAGGCACCACCGCAAACAGGCAAAGAATAATACTTCCTTACCATGCTCTGTTTTCCTTCCTCTTCTTCCTCTAGGATTGCCTCTATGAGACTAAGGGTGCTGTTGTACCAAAATTGTTCGTTTCCTCCTAGAAGCTGTGCTTTCTCAAGGAGTGCTTTTGCTTGTCCGTGGTTTTTTTCCAGGTTAGCCAACACAGCAAATAAGTATAAGCACCTCGACACATCGTACGGAGCTCTCAACTCCTAGGAGAGCAGATCCATTACTGCTATTCATATTTATTCCTATTCATATCTTAGATCAAACTTATGAATAGGCATAGAAACAAGAAATGAAAGGTGGTTTCCTCATTCATCCACAGAATTTGTTACTTATGTTACACTTCCTTGTGTTTTTTCAAAACACAGAAAGCGGCCACTTCGTATCAAGAACTTTTTTAAAACTTCAAATATACTTTACTTTTCTTCATGTTCCCAAATCTTCTACTCCAGCAGTCAAATAAGCTATTTTTCTGCTACTATCTTGTATTTATATATTTGCTTTCATTTGTTTCTGATGAGGAAATGTGGTGATGAAAATAATTGTAGTGAACTGGGATCTAGATATAGCAGAGCTTCAAAGAATTTACAATGACACTTTATGCTAGTTATAAAGTATATACTAGCAGTATACTAGATACAAATATAGCGTACGGTATAGTATAGGTAGCATACTAATGCACAGACATAAACACAGGAACGATACGTCTATAAAATATGTTGTCCCCCCCATAACGCCTTCTGCACTTTTCTCAATGAGCAACAGTAAATGTATGCTTCAATAACAGAAATACATTATTCATGTTAAAAATAGATTAACAGTTTTCACATACGTGAGCAAAGTTATATGGGGGCCTAATGACTTAGTAATTGTATCTTTAAAAAAGTAAAGGATTTATTGTAATAATTAACCACCATGTTCCCTCAGCTTAACAAAATTTCTAGTTCTGATTAAAAAAAATAGAAATTCCCAACACTTGCATACAATTTTGCAAGTTGACTATGAGAAATGACTGCCTCAAAATGAACACTTTTTTCTACAGATTTCATTAATTTTTCTTTTAGTTTTTTATTTCTGCTGTACCTGAGTTGCAGTGTGGGCCTCTGAAAGCAGCAGTCTTGCTGCCTGATACAAGCCTAGCTGAATTAGTACTTCAGCTTTTTTTATCCATACGTAAGGAAAAGAAAGTCCACTCAGTCCTTTTCCTGTTACCGCGTTTAACTCCAACATCTGAAAAATAATCAAATATTACCCCTTCATAAATTGTAAAACAAAATTAGACTGAATACAAATCGATATCAATTATCCTATGCAATCCTTGATATATCCTACAATCTAGCTCTATTTTCTAATTTAGGAATTCAAAGTTAAGCCACAGGACAAGCAGGTTTATTGTGAGATCTGGATTTCATAAAACGCAAAAGGCATTCCAATAACAAATATATACTGGTACAATTAATTTGGTGGCAGATAAACTTCAGATCTGGTACCGTATGGAGGAAGCTGACCCCCAGTAAGAACTAAAATAGACAAAGAGAAGAACAATTTGCAAGAGCTAAAAGAAGTGATTCAAGAGGGGTTAGTAATAAGAAAAATGTATTTGAAGTGCGGAAGAAAGGAAGAACGTACAAACAGAGCAAAATGATGTGATGAAAACAAGAACAGAATTGCTCTAAAGGGCACGAAACTGGAGTTCTGCTTTAATAACAATAAGCTAATTGTTTATCTTCTTAAAGAGGGAACAGAAAAGACGAAACCAAAGCGCCTGCATGCCTTTAAAACGATGTATGAGGGAGAACAAAACAGTATGCAGTGATGCAACAGAGAGGGGAAGAAGAGAAAACAGTCCCAAATTCCACTTGCTTGACCTTGTATGAATACAGATTATATCCCTGCTGTTCAGCAACACATGGGTGATTTGTCAGGCAAATCCAGCTCACATTCAGCTGACGCCTGTCAGCAGAATTTAAATAATTTTTTGTGAGTTGAAGTATTCCTGGAGTATAAAAAGATTTAAAAACAAACTAGCACACAAATTAACATCTAAGTGAAAAATAATCTAATAAGGAAACAGGAGTAAAAAAAAAAAAAAAAACACCTTTTCCTTTGAAGTGACTATGTTCTCATCTTTACTGCCATTCAGCTGAGCATCTTCCAAAAATGCTTTTTCTTCTTCCGCGTTAAAAAGCATATTTTTTTCTTTTTTCAACGCAATCTCTTGCCTACACCTAAGTTGTAATAGAGAAAAAATAAATTGAAGTATATTTTAGAAGTATTTCATCTTGATATACTAATATATTACGCAGCTTTACCATACATTCTGTAAAGAAATATGAAACAATCATGCACAGTATTTTAGAGCACAAACAAGGTATCACGTTTGTGTTAAAAGACTGTACTTTTTAATAATTTTTTTTCTGTTAGTTCTTATCAATTGTAGGAAAAAAAGCTAAATAAAGCCTCTGTAGTAGAAATACATACATTACTTGTTCTAATTCATTGATGAATGTTCCTCCAACAGCTTTCTCATGATATGAGGATGCCTGACTCAGTTTTATATCTGAACATATCAGAGCAATTCTAAGAAAAGAAGAAAACATATTTAAGAAATAATCAGAATCTTCCAAAAGCTGCTTCCTATGAACACATTATAAAGAGGATAGATTTCATGTTTCCTAGACCTTTCGTCTTATATCTTGATTAATACTGGCAATGGCAAACATTTAAAATAAATTGGGAAAACGCTGTAGCGATATGGTCTGACTACAGCATGCAAAAAAATCTACTGACATATATGCTAAACTGTTTTTCTGTGTTCAATAAAGAGTAATATACTCATGCATTTCTATCCCTTCATCTATACAATACAGGTCAGAGAGAAATAAAATGAAATAAAGACAAATCTTGAGACGTCAACAAAAGATTTGTCTAGCAAAGCTTGGCTGCAAATGCATTTCCTATTACTAAATCACCTTTGTTATTGTAAGACAGTAACTCCGTCACCAACTGGTGACCCAGATAAACACGCATCCATTTGTATACGTGAATATTTATGTATTCAGTTCTGTAAAATAAGTTTCAGAAGCTTTAAAAATACCTTCTTTGGCATTCCACAAACTATCTGGAATTAAGCAATTATTAATTACTGCCTATAGTAACTATTAAGTAAAGATTAAGCAATACATGTCCAAAATATGTAATAAAGTATTTTAATTAAAATAGCAGTAACTTTGAAGGCATAGGCACTTGCATTCATATTCACTATTTTTTTTAACCAAAACATTCAGGAATTAACATGCTTAAAAAACCAGAATTTCAGTCACAAAGGTCAATCTCTTAAAAAAGAGAACGATTGCTCTAATTAGGGATGCTTATTTGGGTTCTGAAGTTGAAGACACACTCACACTCAATGTATTTCTGATGCAGGACGGGAGTCTGGCCTTAACTTAAAAGATAGTTTATTGACTTTTGGTGGGACTTTGCTTTTTTCAGCTAGGTGACATTAAAATGTTAAAAAATGATTCACGTGAAAGTGGCTTGAGTTCCTAATCTTGTGTATCTTTCCTAGTGGAGATTAGGTTTAGTAACAGATAATCTTATTGGTTTTAATGATACAAACAAAAAAAAATTAATCTAAACTCCCTATTAAAATTTATAAAAATGAATAATACAGAACTAATGAATTTAAAAACATTACAAATATAACACAATAAGTCTCAAAAAGTATTATTTACTATTTAGTGAAATAGTAATAGAAAGTCCTCTCCCTTCTGTTCCTCTTTTATTTAAAATAAATAAAGGATTCAAACCGGAGATGGTAGAGATCCGATAGACTTCTGCAATCCACAACTTCACTAGCAATGACTTCAGCCAGCTGAAAGATGGGAAGAGTCAAGTGGGGACAAAAAATTTTCTGTAGCTCTTCAGCTAAAAGGTCCATAAAATACAAAGTGCGAGTCTAAAAAAAAGTTGTTTTATTCACTCAATTAATATAAACACCATAAACACCATGTAGAAAATACATTTTAAATTACTGATTACGTTTGCAGTTCAAAACTTTAGTTACAACAACAACAAAAAAAAACTTAAACAAGCTTTCAAACTGGAAAAGCAATTAGGTATACAGAAAGCCAGTAATTTTTTTCTCTATGTAAAATTCATTTCAGAATATTGAGGAGGGACGAGCACGTTCAAAGTATTAACAACATCATGGCATGCATTTCTGATAGCAGCATGAACATACTTTTCACCTCACAGAAATAAAAACGAAAACACAATATGGTTCTCCGCTACTAATCTTTTTCCTAAATACCAACCACTTTTGAATTTTGAGGAGTATACTTACAGGTTTTAGAAAATTATCCCTGTTAATACCGTAACTATTTGTTTTCTGTTTGAATGCCTCTCTGATTTCATCGGGACAGTCGTAAGTAGCCCATTCTTCCACGTTTGCTGGCAAGCTATCAACCGATTCTTTTCTTTTAGGCCTCTCTTTCACAGCAGACGCTTGAACCTATTATTACAAATAAAGACATTCATAAGGCCCAAGTTAACATTTCTGTTGGTATTAAATATTCAACTAACATAAAGAAGATACCTGTTTAGTATCCTTTGAAGTTTTGTCTTTTTTTTGACGTTTAGGCTGTGGGTTCTGCAAAACAGCCGCATTTTGACCAATGCAACAAATAAAAGGAGAAAAAAGAAAAAGCATTTGTAAATTGATGACCTGTCAAGTCTGTGAGACTAAGAGTGAAGATATGATATACAGACACAGAGAGACAACCTTCACAGAAGACTAGCCTTTTTGCACAAAAGTATCTCAACTATTTAACTCGTGAACCCAGGCAAACATATCTTAGAGGATTGTTTGTACTACGCGTGAAAAGGGTTCTTACTTGTTTCTCTTCCTTTTTGTCCTTCTCTTTCTTAGGAGCAACTATTGACGGTACATTCTGAGGAGTGCTGAGTTGTGAAGACTTTGATAATGCTTTCAGAATAGGTCCAGATGCTGACAGAGAAACCTAGAAAATAAAATAATTCCATTTTTTCCCTGAAAATTGCTAATTATCATGATTACTCAACCTAAGTCACCATCTACAGCAATTATAAAGTGTCATACAACTCTGTTTACTTAAGATCTTTCTTAACAAAACTAAAATTTCAGATTCATAGATAACGCCACTATTTGTGCAAGCATTTAGGAAGATCACGATAATGCACTTAAGCAGTTGAACTGGTACGACCAAAGAAATTTACTCCTGTTATGTCAAAAGACGACATCATCCCTGTAATAAAGACTACTGCTACTTCTTAACGTGTATGGTTGCAAACTCAGCTTTTTAAAAATCACGAGTCGAGACTGCTGAGGACTCGATACGGAATGAATTTCATATGAAAGTGACTTTATAAATATGAAACAGAGGAACTATGTTCTCCTCCTGGATTGATCTACTAATGAATGTTATGTAACAGAAGTTTCTAAATATTTAATCATATGAAAACATCCAGAGAAAATCTCTCTGCACTCGCAATAGCAAAGTACAAATAGCCTGAAATACAAAAATATATATATTAATTTTAAAAGTTGAACATATTTTGTTAGAGAGATCAAGAGTCATTAAAACACAAAATATGAACAAAAGTAATGCTAGATGTTTCACAACTTGTCAAAATGTCAAATTTAAGGTATTACGCATCTTTTACCATTCAGAGGCATCTGATTAGGCTTGGATTACTCAGGCTTTCAGCTAAAACTTTGGTGCTTTTCACTGATTTATTTATGGAGTGCTAACATTTGAGAGCTTGCTTTAGAAATGAACACCTTCAGCCAAGTCTGCTCTACTTTTTATTCCAAAACAAGGCTGAGCTGCTGTCCTACAGTACTTTCATTCCTTTCATGCCACATGGGGTTTTTTTTCCCCCCTAACAGTACTGTTCACCTGCCAATTACTGTCATTGTCCTCCAGCTGACACTGACAGTGGCACTAATTGTAACTGTCGACTTCTAAGAGTTTCTTCAAATAGCAATGCTATCTTCAAGTAGGTCTTAGTTTGGTAATAGGTTGAGACAGTCAAGCTCAGTCAAGCACGGGATCTTCACAATTCTGTTCACGTGAAATCTGAAAATATTAACACTCAGATTTTTATTTTTCAAAATTCCTGACTTCCAAGAAGTGCTGCTGTTTAAACCGATTTCAGAATGAAATCCTGATTATAATTCCTACGGGAGTAACAAATTGCAAGCTTTTACAGCAATCTGGAATAAAATTATGCACGCGCTATAGCTTACTGATCTAGTTGACACGACCCAGCTATAACATTAAGATTAGTTCTATAATGACTTGTGCCATTACTATTATCCAGAATAGATTTTGTCCCTTCAGAGATTTTCTCATACTTAATGCATAAACATTTCTCCGCTATGAGTCCCAGTATCCATTGAAATGAGGCACTCATCTCACTGAGAAACTAATGAGGTTTACTTGATTCAAAGTGCTGTAACAGTGAAAAAGTGATTAAAGAAAAATATTCAATGAACACTGCTTGTCTATAGTTTTTCTCAAAATTTACCAGACAAATCAACACTTGAATTTATTTTAATTAAGTCAGATAATTCCTTTAAGTTAAAGGACAGATTCTTTGAAACAACCTATGTGAAGGCCCTTCTTCAGAATTGTCAGTAACGTCTTCAGCATGTATTCTGCCATTGCTAAGTTTCTTTCTCTGACTAATTAAAGATACAACATTTTAGAACCTTTTGTAAGAAAAAAAATACAAATATTCTCCAAAGAAACAATGGGCCATTGCTTCTATCGTAATGGCTGTTCAAAGAACATAATTAGTGAGATATTTGCTAGTCTCTTGAGAGAAACAAATTTCTTGTTTGATACTTAAAACTGAAAAAATAACTAACGATACCATAAAATTGGAAATAGCACAGTGAAGACACAGTGAAAATATCAAATTAAGAGCTGACAGTGTACTTACATGAGATCAATTCAATATCTGCTGGACACGTTTAACTTATATTCTCACCTGCCAGATACGAATGATGCAAGCATACGCCATCAAACAGTGTTGCTGATGAAAGGGAGAACTATGACCAGAAATTATAGCCATTAAAGTATGTGCTCGAAATAAAGCCTCCAATTGTTTAATATTATTCAGATCTTCCAAAGCAATTCTGGGCATCATATAATTTCCTCCAATGTCTATTTTCAGATTTTCTGTAGGTGATAACTTCATTACAGGATCTTTTCCTGTTAAAAAAAAAAAAAAATATGCCCACAGTTTCAGTATTTAAAAGTTCATTCAAAGTTAAATTTCTGAAGTGAAAATGAATATGTAAAATATTAGAAAAATGGAAACCCACCTACTGAAGATGTTCTTCCTTTGGTGATATAATGCTATTCCTACCATGTTTTCAATTATTAATAAGGTAACAATTATGTAAATTAAATCATAAAAGTCTAACAAAGAAATGAAGTCCACAAGCAAGCACACCTTAACTACGTCTTCTTAATAGTAAATCTGTGAGAAAGTCATTTTAACTCATCTGCAGCCACTTAAACAGTGTTCCAGTCAAGTCAAAAGTCCTCTCGATGCTGACGTGGTCTCTGTAGCAAACAGTGACCAAAGACCACGTCCTAACTACCAGTATGCTGGCCAGCAGCAAAAGTATATTTGGCCATCATTCACTTCCCCACCAAAAACGCCCAATAATGCACTGAGTCGATTTCAATCAAGTAAGTCTAAAACATATCTCAAGCTCATCCCTGCATCTGTAACGAGATGTCTCGATGGCTCTGCAACTACAGAAGATGCTCTGCTACTCAAATAATCTTCTCTTGTGCTGTAGAACTCTAGTCATTTTTCAGTAATACACTCAGACACCTTACAGACATTCCAGCTCTCCCTGAAGTTCAGCTCAAAACCAGGTAATTCAGAGGATTTTCAGCCTGAAGTACTATAAAGCCACAGTTCTCTTTCAATGTCAAATTATTGCACTACAACATAAAAAACAGGGCAATGACATGACACCAATCGAATAGTCCATGACTGTCACAGATGAAGTTATAAAAGCAACAGGCCAACCCAGTGAATTTTGAGCATGACTAACGCAAGATAAGCGACCGAGGGAAAGAAATAGTTCACCCGATTGATTTTATAACGTCATATTTTGATTTAACTGTTCTTGTTGCATTCTTTCAGTTTCCACTGAAAGTTTCGTACAAAATTTCTTGAAATGTAAGTGTTATAAGGAGTCCAGCAAGCATAAGCAACTATGTGAAATTGAATGGAAATATCCTTAAAGAAAAAATAAAAACTTTAAGTTGCCAAGGGGCAGTAAAAAATAATAAGTAATACAGAGAAATATGAATAGAATATTGATGCTGTAACTTTAATTACATGAGTGGTAGTAGAGACATCACAGATATTTCTTTTTCATTGCAAATACAAGTATTTTTCTGATCCAATTAATCTATCTACATGAAAATTAAGATCAAAGCAGAGCAGTTGCTGATTAATGCCACACAGCACAGTACTGTTTCAGATATTACTCTTTTCAATTAAATAGCGGCACCTTCTACCAAAATTGGTCACTGAGACCGCACCAGTGTAAGTGGACACAAAGAAAAAGGACATTGTAACCGAACAGTTTTTGCAGAGTTACAGGAGTGCCTAAAAGCTTACAAACCTTTGAAAGTTATTCTTGGAAAATGCATCCTAAAATACTAGATAAAGCCAAAGAAACAGCAATGCACAGAGGTACCCAAATGTTGGCCCAGAAACCATTTCCTGAAAGCACATCTGACCCTCCATACAGCTGCGTCTGCAACCAGCTGCTTAGCACTGCCTTCTGCTCGTATCTGCCAAGGCAGGAACCCCCAGCGTCGGGCAGGACGTAGGTACATCTTCATGGTAACAGCGGGAGACTGAGGGCAGCTCTCTATAGTGCACGCCGACTTTGCAGATAGGGTTAAGCTAGCCTTGAAAGAACGATCGAGACTATCAGCGAAAGTGCAGCCATACTGCTGTGCGGTTCTTCACATGCGCTAGCGAAGGTGTAAAATAAAACAATCATCTCCTGCGTTTGTTAGTAAGAAATTCCTTTGAAGGATATATGTATTTACACACCTTCTTCTTGAGAGGACTGCGCAGAAAATTTCATACGTAGCAAGATATCTATTGCCCAGCGGAGAGGTGCAATAACATCAGTAAGAGGAAACTGGTTACAATGTAACCATTCAGCGAATTCCATCAGATAATCAACTTTCTGCCATTCACTTTCTTGTTTCTGTAAAAGTGATAGTTCAAGAGTTAGTTTACATTTGATGATGTAAAGCACCAAATATTCAAAAGTTTAATACAGTTTTAACAGCAACAAATAATAATTTGACAGGCAGCAGTTTTATTGGATCACAATCAGAAAATTATATTAAACTAAGAAAATTCTATAGTTAATCATTTTGTTTTATCAAAACTTTCAACAATTAGCTACTCAGACATTTTTCTTTGACAGGACTCAATGGAACTTGTACTGGATTCAAGTCATACACGCTGTTTTCCAACTGAGGAGCAATTTCAAAGATACAGAAATAATCTGTGGCCAATTATCTATTGTATTCAATTAGCTAATTAATAAACTTTTACACTTGCCGTTACTAAAAGAATTACTAACATTCAGTTCCATAACTAAATGATCGCAGGTATGTACTAAGCTTATGCAGAGTTCCAGACGGAAGATAAAAGTTAAAAACAAATACGTGAAACGGTATTATACATTTTCCTCCTTTTCACTGACAAGGCTTTCAATGCTAAAAATACCTAAGCGGTGAAAAAAGGTAAGACTAAAAACAAAAAAAAAACAAAAAAAAAGAAATTGTGGAAATGATGAGCAGCCCAACAGCACTTAAGAGAACGCATGGTGAGGCTGAACAGACCGCTTTCCCCCAGCTTGCACAACCTGACAACAGAAGAAAAGTAGCTTCATGAACAGCAAAACTAAGGGATGCTGATTTCCTACAGAATCCTAGTGTCTAATAAAACATAATCAAACCATCACTGTCATTACGGCGTTCATCATTGATCTTCCCTGTTTACATAGGTATTTTTTTCCCTCTGATTTCTCATAAAAGTTGTGCTCCTACAGTAGCCTTCGTTGCTGAGTCTACAGAAAAGGTCTCAGCATCTCCTACAATTAGCTGCCATTTCAATTAAAGTAATAGCACGTGACATTTTTCTCAAATTTGATTGAAGCTAAACAAATATAATAAATAAAACTCAACAAATTTGGGGCGGTGGGTAGAGTGTAGGGATTTGGAAAGACAAAGCAATTATGCAAATCTTACTTTCTTAGGAAAGCAGGCTAAAACTAAGGACAACATGCGGCAATAAACAGAGCAGAATATGCTTTTTGCCATATTGCCATGACTTGTTAAGCCTAACTTTGGATGAATTTTCTATAGCTTCTGCTACATAGCTGATCTGTTTTAGTACACAGCATGCTGCTTCTAAACAAGGACGGTGTAAGCTCTCATGTCTTGCAAAATGTTCATGGCTTGAAAGCATTCTGTTAACTTGAATGGGCGTTGGACTAAGTCTCAAATTGTGAAATTTGCAGCGGATATTTAACAAAGAATTATCCTCAGGAAATGTAACCAGTTATATAACACCTTTTGTTTACGTAAAAAGCCACAGATTGTTTCTGTTATGTGCATATATCTCAGCTTTCAACTTACTGATTCTTATTTATATTTAAAGGAACAAAAGTCAAATTAAGTGAAAAGAAAATTAACATGAATATTCAATAACACACATTAAAACAGTGTGCACATATATGGCCTACCAACCGGGTCAATTACATACTTCATAACACCTGCAATTTCATGAACTGCTTTCAGGAACATCATTTTCTCGGCCTTAATACTAAAAACTCACAAACCTGTAAAGCATCGATTGCATTTTGAAAACAGTTTAACTGTCCAACAATACTTCTGGAGACTGTTACCAGATGGTGCCACATGTGTGACAAATAATCTTCACTTTCATCTCTGAATTTCTGAATGTCCATCATAAAATTACATCCCAGTCTTGCCTTCACTATAACCATATGTTTAAAAATCAGGCTAGAGACGGAAGAAAAATATTACAAATTACTCACATCTATACCTGTAAAGTAACTTTGTGAATAGGACAGATATACTAGTTCACATCAGTACAGGACAGAGATGTCAATGTTCATAAACCGACATAACTTAGTGCATAGATCGTTGAACTTGTCTAAGACTTTATATAAACAGTATCCTAGACAATTTAATTTCCATCTAACATAAAGGGATTTACAGCTAGGAAAATTAAAATTTCTGTTATTACTAGGAAATCCATATTCCCTATTCCCTTTTCTTGGAAAAGTTATATAGTACCTATACATTAAGGATTAAAAGCTGAAATTCACAAACGTTATGAACAGTTTAATAAGAAGCAATGTCAACAAGTACCTTTTCATGGAAAAGACACACCACTATTTTCAGTATACGAAACGACAGCCTGACAAAAAGGTAATCATGACACTATTTTAACAATGCAAAATAAAAAAAAATACTTAAAACAGAACTTCCGAATCTTATACTGCTCACAAATTAGGATGCTCATTTTAATAAAAATACATCAACCAACTTACAGCCTATGTCTGGTCCGAGGCAAAACCTGAATGGCTTCATCTAGCACTTTTAGTGCTGTCTCCCAATCAGCTTTATCAGCATGTATGTGGAATAATAACCCATATAAAGAAGTTCTCAGTGTCAGATCTTCCTCAGCACCTTTGAAGTGTGTTCAAATGTTAAATGATTTATTAATATACTTTAAAACTAGAACAGTCATATCACAAAATACCGGGGTGGATGGGGGTGTTCGTAACCGAACCAAAACAAAGAAGAACATGCCTGGGAGAAAGTATCCAAGTGATAATTCATTATTTAGAAAATCCTTTGTACACCACTGATGCAAAGGCAGCAGATCCTTCTTCTCCTAAACAAAAAAAAAAGAAAAAAAGAAAAAAAGAAAAAAATAACAATGTCCTTTACTGTTTGGTTAGCATACAGCTCAGAGTATTGTTGTGCTTCTGTTTTCTTTGTAGACTAAAAAATAGATTTAATGAGGTAGCAATATGAACTATTAATCTGAAACGGAATATGAACTGTTAACCTTACCACTTAAATAGCTGTTTGTGCAGAAGATGAAAACTACAACCATTTCTCCAGAACAAGTTCTATAGTACAAATCACACAGCAATAACCAGACTCCGTAACGTTCAGCCAGTACTCCTACACTGATTAAATAACACGAGGCAGTGAAGTACTCTCTCACAGAACCACAGGACGGCCGAGGCTGGCAGGACCTCTGGAGACGGTCTGGTCCAACCGCCCTGCTCCAGCAGGGTCAGCTGCAGCAGGTTGCCCAGGACTGTGTCCGGTCAGGTTTGAACGTCTCCAGGGACAGAGATTCCATAACCTCTCTGGGCAACAATGAGCAACAGCTTGTATTTTCAAACTATATGGTTTTTTTAAATAGGACTTGATGTCCCATTTTGCTCTTGTCCCATTTTGCTTAGCTGGCTTTACCTGTGAAATTTTGACCCTCACAATTCTCACCCAAAGGTGAAAGAGATAATAACCCTCCATCCACAGCACGGGTTTGCACCTTCAAAGATAAATTCTCTGTCTTGTTTCACAGACAGATCCATACAGAGTCAACCGATGCTGACCACTTACTGACCACTGACTACATAAAGGACCATGCTAATACATTACCAGAGCTGGAGCTACAACTTTTGGATAACTGTTATAACATCAGCCTCAAAGACTTAGCAGATTTGGTCAAGTCAGCATTTGTTTCCCTGAAGACACAAATCATCTCAGCTTTACCCCGAGGGTAAAGGAGAGCTTCAATGATGGTGGTAGCAAACAGAGAGCAGCTAATGTGTCATTTTGTTTTAAGAAAGCTAGTAATAGCAACGGTAAAACTTTTGTAATATTCGTTTTTATGTTTTGCTCTACACATTTTGAGTTTTTAGGCTGACAGGTATCTCAAAGGAACGAACAGCCACTGCCCTGTTGTGCTGAACTAAAAGTTATGCTCTGGTTCACCAAATATGTGACTGCATTTAAAAAGTCCTTAGACGTAACCTGACCAAGGATCACTGGAGACCAGTTCCTGCCTCTTACAGTGATTACCAGAGCATGCAAAAAAAGAATCCACTAATTCCTGAAATAATCAAATACAAAACAACCTGTTTATAGGAAGGATTTTTTTTCTAATATCAGAAGTTACTACGCACTCTGACTCGCAACAATTACTAATCTTTCAGAATAAAAAGTCCGTGATATCTGTATACTTTCACTATCTACATAAATGTCTTGGGTTTTTTTTTTTGTTTTTGTAGATTTTATTAAGGTTTGGCTCTGAAAATATCCTGGGCCAGGAGCTCTGCAAATAACTAGACATTTAGAAATGTGTCTACGGGCAAATAATGTTATCCATATCTTGTCAAAGTTCGTTTTAGTTTAAATTTCACACCATTGTGCTTTCAAGTAAAGAGTGCTTTCATCAATTCTGTCTCCTAATCACTTTGAATCAAGCAGACCAGTCACCATCTCTGATCACTAGTGATCTATACATGACTTGAGGAGAAAAATAAAATTAAGTTTTCTATTCTTATACTACACTACTAGATGATCTGAGATGCACACTGAGATGTCACACTGGGACCACGGAGCTCGAATGCACAAGTTACAACTAAAACTTTCAAGGCCTGATTCTACGCCTGTGGAAACGCATGGAAAACTCTCATCAGCTTCAGGGACAGATAAATCAAATCTAGAGAGAGAGAGAAATGTATGAACTCCCGGGAATTCTGAAGTAAGAAAAGGAAAAGCACTAAATGTATAGGCATGTTTAAGTGCGCAGAAGAAACTTCATGTGACAAGGTCTGCTATGTGTTACACATCACCTACATATTTAAATACTGTATATTGTTTCAAGAGGAAACAGTTTCATTCAGTTTTATGCTGTTCATAAAGGAAATCAGTAAATATTTAATTTTATCATCGACTCCCAGCACTTCTTGAATTATAACTCCTTCCTACCGCCAAAGTGTCAAATATCCCGTTAAAAAATTGTCTGAAGATAAATAAAATAAAAATTTCTTTTTGCAGGTAGAAATTACATTAGAATCTGTAGAGGAGAGGAACCTTAGTTTAGCTGCAGGTTTTTCTGAGTATGTCTTTTAAGGTCTATTATCATTCTCACCGGAAGTGACAGATCTTTTTCTGGATTTTCTTTCCAATGTTTTCTAAATATTCTCCTCTGAAAGCTTCACAAAGTGAGACACTACAGCCTTTCACACATTAAATTATTTTGAGGAAAACAGCTGCCAGCCTGACAATGGCCTAAACCAGAAGAACAACCAAACGGAGAAAGAGCATGTGATTGCCTGTATGCGTGAATGTGTGTGATGGGAACACAGGTAAGAAAGCTTGTATGTGTTGGAGTCCTTTTTCTCTCTCAGGAAAGATAATCTGGAAGAAGGTACCCATGGCTTCAAAGCAAGGCAAAAATTTTTCTTTACCATCAGAACCAGTCACTAAACACAAGCACAGCCAATAATAGTTATTAGATATTCTTACCTGTTTATTTTTAGATTCTGCTTTAATTATATTCTTGAGAATTACTTCCGTGGGTTCTTTAAACTGTTCTCTGTCGTATGGAGAACCTATCAAAGGCAAGCAGGTATTCCAAAAGTGTCTAGCTGCAAACATTACAAGGGAATAATTTCCTGCTTCACCTGCGTATCTGAAGAAAAGAAAGTACAAGTTAATGGAGGAGAAATTCCCACTCTAACCAAAATAAGGATTTTTCTGCTACAAACAAAATCTGTGGCTCACCTGATCAAGGTATCACCACATACATCCTACCAACAAAGGGTTAGCGTACAAGTTTACTACAAAATGTATTTTCCATTTTTATACGAGAATGCCTTCACATATCCAGCAGAAGTAGCAATAAACAGTATCATATTGATGTGTTCATTGTATTCTCATGCAACACTAGCTAAAGCGCCTTCATTATAAAAATTACTAGAAATCTACTTGAGATTTTTTCACTGGTATATATGTGTTAAGTTCCTAATCTCCTATTATGTTAAGTTCTCATTATAAAACATTAAAAAAAGGAACAAAAAAAATTCTTGAAATGCTACGGATTTTGCATAGTACAAAGTATCACTGTAACTTAAAAATACACCCTAAATGCCGGTAGTTGTGTGCAAATTAAGTGTTTTGAACATATTCCATACAAAGGTTACTTTTAATTAATAAACATTAATATTCTACAGACTCTGACATAACAACATCCTATTACGAGCGAGCACAAATTTTAGAATTTATCTCAAATTAATGGGTTGGTACTAAACAATTATCCATTGAATAATGCTACTGTCTTCAAAAAATTAGTTTTTGAATCTGGTGATCTTTGTCATTTTCTCACGCAGTTTCACCGTTTTCAGAGTTTGTGTCTGCTTGCATATATTTTATCTTAATGCTAGACTTACTAAGGCCTAGCTTTTGCTCATCACCTTTTTTCTGCCTTTCGGAACTTGTTGAGCTACCTGTAAATGCGTAGTCTTTCCTGAAAAAGGGCTTTCATATTATGTAAATTAAATAATACAGATTTGTTTGTTTGCAACATGACATCACCTTAGAGTTCTGTTATACTGGCTATTCTGGCTTCTTTCATCACTCTGTTTTAACGATTAATAGAAGGAAAAAAACATTACAATGCCAACAGCCTCACACCAGCCATCACATTTTCCTCTTTTAAGAGTTCTAATTACCTACTTTTGCTCATGAAATAATTTTTCTTTCCAAAAAGGAAAAGATCGCATGTATCGCCTTCTCCTTCCTACTCATTACTTAAAGTCATCTTTCTACTTTGGGTTCATGACATATACTTCACAGATACTGAATAATTTTCACAATATTAATACGATGCCTTCCAACACCGGAGCCTGAGCGCTGACTGGCTGGGGAGCAGCTCTGCTGCCGCACAGCTGGGGTCCTGCTGGACAGCAAGCTGCACACCAGCCAGCAGCGTGCCCTGGCAGCAAGGAAGCTCCACGGCACCCTGGGCGGCACCAACGGGAGCACCGTAGATCGAGGGGAACAATTACCACCCCTCTCCTCAGCACTCGTCAGACCACATCCGGGCTCCTGCATCCAGTTGTGGGCCCCCCAGCCCAGGGAAGGCATGCACAAACCGCAGCGAGCTCAGGGGAGGGCCACCAAGCCGCTCCAGGGCCGGAGCACCTGCCCGGCGAGCAGGGGCTGAGGGAGCAGGGCCGCTTCATCCTGGGAAGAGGTGGCTTCAGGCTGACTTAACAAGGAGCTTGTCGAGAAGACAGAGCCAGGCTCTTCAGAGTGGTGGATGGCAGGAGGGGGAGTGGCAGAGAGCATAAATTTAAACAGGAAAGGGTCAGACCGGATATAAGGAGAAACTTCTTCGCCATGAGGACAGTTGAGCAGTGGAGCAGGTTACACCAAGAGGTCGTGCAATCTCCACCCTTGGAGGTTTGCAAGACCAGACTGGATAAAGCTCTGAGCTGGCGCTGCTTTGAGCAGGAGGCTGGACTAGAGACCTCCCGAGGTCCCTTCCAACCTGGATTATCGTATTAGCCTACAATACTAAAACGTCAGGTACATGGAAGACATGATACTCGATAATTTTACTAAACTGCAAAATTTTGCCAAATCCTTTGTTAAGCATTTCCACTTAAAACTGTTTTGATTTTTACCAGTCTTGGGAGAGAAGAATATGCTGATCTGGTCCCAAAATCTGTCAGTCAAAAATTAACTCTGTTTTACATTAGCCTGCTCTCTCCAAACAAAGCATACCTGGCGCTCTGAACAAAGGCGTTTGACGCTGTTACACGCAGCTGTTTTTTTCCAGACAAATTTGCCATTATACTCTTCCCCTGTATACAGGCAGCAGTACTTAACATTTCTTGTCTCATTGTGTTTTCAGGCCTGAATAAAAGCAAACAATTCAAAACTACTCTTACAGACTAAGAACATACCAGTTCCTATTAATAATGCTTTCAAATTGTTACTAGATAGATGTCCTCACCTTTTTTACGTGCAAGTGTGTCTACCTACTTTTCTATTAAAATCAGAATCTATTTGAAAAACGGAACAGTATGTGAACAGATACCAGAGATAAAATGGCATTTTCTTAGCTCTAATGAAAATAACTGTGAAGGCAGATGAAAAATTATCCTATTAACACTTAGTAAAGGGAGAAAATATATTTGGGTTTTTCTGCCCATTATTCACCATTGTATCCCAAACAAAATATTAATCCAAAGTCCAATTTACAAGGCTGGCCTTTAAAAATAGAAATACGGAAAATTAGATATAATTATTGACATTTTCTTTTGGGCTTGGGATCTCTTATGGCTGGTAGAAGTACGCACAAGGCTTCGGAGAAATCGACTTGAATTATTGTGCAGTAAATTTAGAAGTGGAGAATATAGATGTCAGTACCAGGAAAGTGATAATCCATAAAATAAAATTCCATTTTGATATCTTTGGATAAGGCTGATTTGATAAGAAAATTGGTAATATAATTTTCAAATTTTTTCAATGTCTTAGTTACAGTGTGCCATATGCAGACCTGAACAACGTGCCATGTACAGACCTGAACTGTATACAGTTACGAAGAAAAAGCAAATAACTTTATAGGGGAACTCGTGTTTATTAAATTAGCATGTCTAGTTGACCTAGCTTCTACCTTTCAGTGATAACTATTATGCAGTTATGATTTGTGACCACAAGAGGACACCAGTCTTCTACAGTTTGATTCAACAGTGAGGAAAATTCGAAGTAAACTTATAAAATCTTCTTTTGTCCTTCAGTGGTGCTTTACCATAAAAAACACTGAGTAAGTTTATCTTTCATTTCTCTGGAGACGGCACTGAAAATCCATGACTACAATCCTGTGTCAAAGGCTCAAATGTTATCATTCAAAAGTTTGCAGATTGCTAGATATTCAGCAAGTATTTTCTCTATTTCTCCAATGCTCTGAAAGTATGTATTTCATTTTTAAATATCTTATTTAGGAGAAAAATTGGTTCTACGTCTTTTTTCCCCACAGAGTGAACAACGGTAGTTGACAGAGCAGAATTTTTTTCAGGGAGGGTCACAGAAAAATAAATACTAAATTATATTCAGTGTTCCACACATTTTTTTCTATCTTCCTACATTAAAAAAAATTGAGTTGATTCCCTTTCCTTTTGACTAACTTGCATTCAGTTTTGGGGGATTTATATAAAAGCAGAACGATCTAGTAATACCACTTTTTCAGAATAAACGACTCCACCAACAGATCCTCTTGTAACTGAAACTTTTTTTTTCTTGAGATCAAAGTTTTAAACTAACATTTCAGTAAGACCCCGGGTTTCTTAAGAAATATTGCCATTGCTCCTATAAAAATAGGCAGTATGAAATAATTGTGAGCCCTGATGCATGACTGCAGAAGACAGTAAGAATTTACAGGGAACAGCATGACTTGGGGCTAGACGTGAGATCAAAACTTGGAAAACAGTAGCTGCCATCACCTATCATCACTCGCAGCTCTGGCTTCTTCCTTGACCGGTGCACATCTTTTGCATATTAGGACCAGTGCAGCACTGGAAGCAGTTTGCATCAGCAAAAGCACTAGAATAAGCTACTTGTTGCTTGGAAAAGACAGAAGTATGAGAAGACTGTGACAGCCAGAGAAAAGCAGTGCTCTCTAGGAAGACACTCAAGCACATGAATATATGCCCTGCTGACTCACATGGAATATAAAATTCACATACCTTCCTGAACCGAGACCAGAGCCACAATTTGGATCTTGCACTGCTTTTTACTCAGGCTATATTGCAGGGTTAAAATGTAGCCTGAGGTGCTTAACTATCTGCTGATGACAGAGTTGGCAGAAGAAAGCAACTTGGCTTTCACCTGTAACTGCACAGTTTTTTTCTTTTTAAAAAAGATTGTTTCACGTGTGATTACATAATGCGTATATGGGGTAAATGCATCTGATTCTTCAAAACATAGTTCAAATATACCACATTACCATGTAAAGTTCAACATACTTACATTTCATGTTTCTTAGTATCTCTATTACAGCCAAAATTCTCAGCTGATTGCAAGATCCTTTGGAAACAAGTCATCACTACTTCATGTTCATGCGATGCGTATGCAAAATGCATAAGTCGTGTCAGTGTCTGCAATTCCACTAATGAATCTGACCAGCTACAATCTAAAGCCAATTTCACTAGCTGCAAAAAATATTTTTAAAATCTCATTATGCTTTTAGCATGCTCTTTTTATGTATGACAGTTATTTATCCTTTTGACACCAGCCTACTCAACATACAATCAGATCACTGTAAGACTTAAAAAGATAACTGATTAATGCGCCACATATATTTACTTCCACAGCACATACGTGCAAAAACACTTATATCTGTACTTTCATACCAGCCTGCCCAGGCATAGAACAAGTACATAATAAAATAATGTAGAAAACTAGACATTGACAAGCACAATAAAATGTACAATAGACAGAGAATCATCATTCACCCTGTGGTAAGTATTATGGTTGTCAATGGAAATCTAGCTACAAACGTGCATGCCTTTTGACTAGCACTATCTGTCAGCAATCACTGTATGTCCTCGGTCCTCTTCTGACAATCAGAGGGGAGTAGGCGTTCTGCAATTCAAAGTCCTTTGTAGTTAAGCCAAAGGTGAGAACTGGCTCTACAATCACAAGAGCAGTGCTTTATGGATATATATAGTTTCATCACAATACCTAAATGTCTTTCTTGCTTTTGTATGTGTCAGTCAGAAAGTACCATCTTCTGAAGATAATAGGAATTGTTACTGAATTGATTACAGAGAGGCTGTTACAGTGTTGCTCTCCAAAACTAAGTCACTGAACCAATAGCTAAAGCAAGCTCATAATATTTGGTAGAAATGTATAGACCAATTGAAATTAAATACCTAAATATTTGTAGAGACACAGATCATAGTCTTTCAGGAGAAGGATTTCTACAAAAGTTTTAGACAATTTCTTAAGATTCCTAGTTGACTGATGGGGAAATACGTCTCAGTCCTTTAAGAAAGCTCTTTACAGCAGGAAGCATAAATGAAGAATATGGTAATCAAACAGGTAAAACTACAAAATTAATTCTGACATAACTTGCTGCTTGGAAAATGTGGAGTATAAACCTTTTTTACACCACCTTTGTTCCTCTTAAAAAGCCTGGTAACCAGTGGGGCCACAGGAGAAGCACGGCACTGTTCAGCACGAGTAATAATGGAAGATGAATCCAAAGCAAGTACTTTAAGAAATTATGTTAATGTAGTTTTGCTTTGTATGAGACTCACCAAAAAGCCACCTAATTTTTTAAGTAGCAACAAGTTGTAGTTTTGTTCTACCTTGCAACATCCAGAAGTAAATTCACTATAACATTAAGATTTGTCTTGAAATTCTGAGCACTTTCAATACATTTCCTAAGAGAAAGTTTTGTGTTCTGCACAAAAACAAAAGATCACAAATTTGGTTCAATACAGAATGCATCTGACGGGTTACGAGCGTAATCTCTTAGGGCAACACAGGATAACGTAGTAGTGGCATGCTGCCTGTTTTGTGGATAAATGCAAATGTTCAGTCACAAAAATCTTCCACCTGCTATAACTAGTAAACGTCTTGGAATGTTTGAAATAAAACAATAGTATAAGAAAGGTTTCACAACGAATTATTTTTGTCTCTATCCAAAATTGAGACTGGAATCACATTTTTACCATGCAGTTTCTTAGAACTCAAGAGTTAATAATATAAAACTAAATACCTGAGATAAGCTAGGAACAGTGAAATCCATGAGACCCACGCCGTTACACGAATACATCTCCAGACCAATAAGAACTCTTGCAATAGAATTTTCCGCTTCATCGCTATTCTGAGCGGTAAGAGAAACGTCACATTTATAGATTTTTTGCAAGTGGAACATTATTAAAGACAGTAATTGAGATGACAAGATATAGGAACGATGTTTGGAAACCTCATTTTTCATTAAATAAGTCTGCTTCTCTTTATTGTGCCATTAAATGGTAAATTTGGGTATTTTGCCTTTTTTTTTTTTTAAACTAACAATGGGGAACTCTGAACTACTATACTTTCAATATATAAAAGCATAGTAACAATACAACGAGCATAAATTCCATACATCCCTGAGGGATTCTGGTTTTACTTGACATGTTTAAAATAAAAAGAAAGGAATAAAATACTAATTTTCAACTTACTAATTCCATATTCTCTCTCTCTATAGAGAGAGAGTTCATATTAAATGTTGATATAAATATCGCTGTTTTATATCAGGTGTTTTCATGTAGCCATTTTATTACTTTAAATGTATCAACTGAAAAACAGCTTTGTTACACAGTCATCATAAGACAAACATCGTAATTATTCTGGGTACCTAAAAACAGAAGGCAGAATTAAGAAACGCAGACTCGTTGCTATGCCTGATGTGAAAATGTGTTGCATTCTGTACTGACTTATTGGAATACTGCCAATATTTATTTTCGTCTACTATTCAAATATATTTAGAAAATACACGTTGATAACTAGTATTAAATGAATTTATGCATTTCATTATATATTTTCACAGAGAAGCTTCACAGTTGAACAGGATTTCAGAGAAATAATACCTCCTCCTCAGTCACAAGTTTAAGTCCAATCTGCTGCTGATGCAACTGTTTTGCTTTCACCCACGTAGCAATGATCTGCTGTCGTACAGCAATGGGTATTGTTTCATTGGGCACAGTTCTGGTTGTCAAATTTAGGGCAAATTCACAAATCTAAACACCAAGAAGAAAATAAGAGTGAAACACAGAACATATGTGCACAGCTTTTTATATGGAATATATGTTGTCCATCAGCCACATTAATTAATTACCGCAAATGAATCTCTATGCCTAACAACATCTCTGTAAGCCAGCCAGCATGGCAAAGAAAAGTTGCAGTCCTTGGCTGCAATTAGTAAGGAGCTTCAGCATGGATTTGGGGAGGACCTGCGGGAGGGTAGCTTGCTTTTTTGCAAGAATTTCTAGATTTAAAATTTATATGTAGTGTAATATATGACAGCAGACAAAAAAAGACTGCAACAACGAGGACTTTGTACCTCTAAGGCTGCTTTGACATCAGGAAGTCCATTGGGATCTACTGACAAAAACTGGATGACATTTGCTTTCTCGGGTCCCTTTGCCGCAGCCTTTCTATTTCTGTCTGTTGCTGCATCTATCTTTTTGTTCTCAGCAAGTTTTGGCTTTGGAATCCAGCAAAGAATTAAGCCTCGAGCCAAAGCATTACATAACATCAGTAAAACTACAGGACTTCTGGAAAAGAAAACAAAAATCAGAAGTGCATACTGCATCAGATCAAGACAAGAGGAAGTAATAAAGTCATTAGCATTACTTTATAATCTAGATTTTTCTTAGAAAGCAAAATTTTGGGTGTTACCAAGAAATTACCCCATTGGAGAGGCAGTTATAAATGTCAGACATAGAAAAGCACAGCTTTCATGTTTTGCATCACATTCTTCTCAGGTCTTTCTGTAACTGAAACTTCTATTTCCTCACAGAAAAAAAAAAAAGTGTTCATATCTGTGTCAGACATGGAAAAATATCAAATCTCAGTTTTAATAGTGGGTTGTTATGCATGATAGCAAAGGCTCTTTCCTAATAAATTAATCTGAACCAAAGCCCTCATGTGAAAACGTTTTTTATTTATAATACTATATTATTTTCCACGAGAATCAGCTGCTGAACTGGAACTACCAGAATTTTCGTCTGAGGAAACACAAACCAAAATATGATTGAGAGATTATTGCTGACTCTATGACATGCTAGTATAAATACCAGAATTAATAAATATGTATTACTAGTCTTCATCTTTGCACAAACTGCACTCTAGGCTTTGTTCTACAACGCTGTTACAACAGTATTCTTTGCTGCTGCTTCTCACAGTTTGCCTAGCACTGAAGTCACCGTCTGGGATTCGGTCCCACGCTGGGAACCTGGACGTCAGCATCGCTCTGTAACAAGCGATCAGTCCCCCATCACCGCAGAACAGGATCTCTCTCTAAACCACTGTGAAATCTATAGTTCCATTTTCATGGTCAATTATAGGGCATCATCTCTTAATTTTCTTCTTTTTCTCCTTTCTTTTAGATTTCAGAACCAGTAGTAACTAACTTCGAGCAGAAATATTTACAGTGAACAATGCAGAGTCAACTTCAGAGCAACCGACAGCCAAGCAAATACCTTCCAAGCTATCCTGCAGACAGACACAGGGAAAGAAATCTTTCCTGATTCTTTTTGACTAGGTCAACAACACGCTATTTCACGTGTACATGTTGCTGCTCCACAATAAAGGGAAATCAAAAGTCTTAGTCTAAAATTAACATAGTTTATAACAAATATCAAGAAAAGAATGTATAGAAGGGTTCTTCCTCAAAGCACAAAACGGAGTTTGTCGTCTGAAATATCCCACATACATCAAGGTCATACTTCTAATAAAAGACAGCAATAACATTTACTCAACAGTACGGAGTGATTTACAATGTTTGCAAAAATATTTTTTGAATTCATATCTTTGTTTCAGAAAAAAAGAGCACGTTCATAAGCAACCTTATCTACTCACCCAGTGTGCCCAACATTCTTGATTGCTCTAAGAAGAGTCTGCAGATACTCAAGAATCTCCCTCTGTCTTCCTGAAGTGATAAGATGTTTATTGTAGTTTAAGACGTACACCGCAGCATTGTGAACAATCCAGGCTTCATTTAACTCTTCTCCTATTTCGGCTGCACGTTGGAAATTTTCCATAGCATACTGGGATAAGTAGTCAATCCATAAACTATAAAATTAATATTATGAAGCTATTTTTCCAAAATTTCAGCACTGGAATAGATGTATCAGAAGGCTAGATATGCAGCAGTATCTCGATAACCAAAAATATTTTTTGGAATGACTTGTGGGTTGCATTTATTAGATCTCTGTCTATTAACATACTTAGACAGGGAGATGAATCAGGAGAGGAATTAGTACCCACATAAAATGATCCGTCTCTGACACTCAAATACTATTAGCTTAGAAAAGCAGTAGCTATAATCTACATTTCATGCTTTATCCACAGTGCTTTTTATAAAGTGTGCATGAATCCACACGTTAGTGCTAGAAATCATTAAATACCTATGACAGAGCTTTAACTGAATACAGATGCAAGTAAGGCGTTCCTTTCAAGTGTTTAGGAGGTGTCTTTTTCACTTAACAAACGCATGTCTTCTTACGCTCAAAGACATAGCCAGATGTTCTGAAACACTATGTTAATTTTTAATAGAATAACATATTTTTATAGCCTATGCAATAGTATTCTTTTATGTATCAACCCATTTTCAAGATATATCCTGCACCTATCATTTAGAAAAAACAATATTTAAAATAGAATCTTGACGGACCATGCAGAACGGCCACGGTTAAGTCACGAAACCAAAAAGCACAAACTGACTCAAGAGTATTACTGTGTCACCAGCTGCACGGGTCATATATAGTGACAGACAAAAATGCTTTTTCTCCTGTAAGTTTTTACTTTAATTTGACAAAAGAGACAGTGGCACAACAAGTAAACTGGGTAAGCTCAAAGACCAGTTTCGGAACAGAACGCTCATCTTCCACGTCCCTTGGTTCTGAGCAGTTTATACTTTTTCCTGGTTTACTCAACGTTTCCAAGCAGCCAATGAGAGAAATTTTACTTAATCTTCAATAATGTACAGACAACGTCCAGTTAACTGTATTTCGCAGCTCAGGCAAACAATGCTGACAATCCTGCTATTTGCTATATCATGACGGCCACTATAACAATACGGCAAATATTAGAATGAATGTAAACAGTAAAGAGTTTAAATATCATCTTGAAAAGTCTCTCCCCCTCTTCGTTAGCAACAAATAACAGCGTGAGACTAGAAAAAAAAAGAAACTTGCTATAGCCTCCTCTCCCTTATTCATTCCTGTTGATTGGAAGGAACAGACTAGTTTTGCAAACTTGAGTAATTCATAACATGTTTACTCAGGTACTCAGATACCATTATAGCTAGTTATAGGAGCTACTAGGAAATACAAAGAGTTTATTGATTTGGGGAAACATTTTTAAATATAGAATTTCATGGTTTAAATATATTACAGATTTTTAGTTTTTAAGGCTGGGATATTAGCTTCTCATTTCAGAGAAATAAATGTTGAATGATAAAACACGTGCTTCAGAATGAAAGTAAACCAAAGAAAAATGACTTCCAAAGATTTTTGTTTAGGTTCTCCTCCTTTTCCCACCACCCTTCCTACCTAAAAAATGGACCATGTGATGACCATGAATTTTACTAAGAAGAAATAACTTTCGAAACTATCAAATATGTGTGATTATAAAACACTCTGCTAAAAGTCCTAGAACTTGTTATGAATAAAAACACCTGTATGTTTTCCATTCTGCATCACTTTCAGGAAGACTTGGAACATATCCTGCAGGATGCTGGCTTGCACCTTCTGGAGGTACAGCACGATCGTTCAGTTCAATTCCCTGCAATCTTAATAAATGAACAGTTGCCTGGAAAGATACAAAGAAATATGTTTTTAATCCAGTTTATCACTCTGAAAATAGACTGTGCCTTATTATTTGTGCCACTATCTCTTCAAAGAAAAAATACAGAATGCTTTTTCAGATTCTGTGCGGGCATACAGAAATCTACCATGAGAAATATAATGTAAAATACTTCATAACCTTCCAGTTGTTTACAGTTAATTTTATTAAATAAATTATTCCATTAGGAAAAATAATATGAAAAAAAAATCTTTTATTTTGCTGGAACTTTAAGATTCCAGAAATATAACATCAGGTGTCAAAGATTTGCAATAAAATCCTTCGTAAAAAAGTATTTTCACTACTCATAGTGAAACTACTGCTATAGTTAGCCTTCTGGAGTATTTTTATAAAGTTGCTTCATCAAACTATTTTTTCTTTTAGTCCCTATGAAGATAGAAAATAATCCATAACCCAATTCAAAGTTCTAGTGCCTTAAGATGAATATGGCTAGAATTATGCATAAAACTACAACTAAATGAAACAAATACGAATGACAGCACTTCATTTACCTCCGCATTAATGAATCTTATTTCTGCTAATATTCTGAGTAAATCTCTTTCAAAAGAGAAGAATTTAGCAGGATTGAGTAATGATTGCCCTGGCAAGCTGCCACCTTGATCATCATCCACAACTGTACTAGCTTTCTTCTTCTTCTGTACTAAAAAAAAAGTTCCATTATTATTACTAGTAGGTAAATCAGAAAAAAAAAATCACCTTAATTTTAGAATTAAAAAAATCTTTATATAGCTGTAAATTCACAATAAAAGAGTTAATGAACACAGATTTTAAATCACTTCACTCAGGTTTTTTTTTAGGTATTGCAATTTATTGCACTCAAAACCCATTCTCCACAAGTAACATATTGGTTACCTGTGATTTTATCTGTATTTAAACTTTAATATCTGCAGCAAATAACTTGCTCCAGTCACAATGTTCATACAAAAATTGCATTTATATGAACATAGCCCACATTCTCTAGTTCAATTTTATTATTTCAATGGAAGTGGAGCACTGGACATGTTGCAATAGTAGAGGCTAAAAGCTCAATGTGCTTAAATCACAGATGAGGTTGACTTTCCGGCAACATATACAGCAATAAAGAGAAAAGCAGCCCATAAAGGAAGACTACCTTTGATGAAGAGACTACAGTGGCCAAATACTAATTTTGTGTCTGTAAAACGCCATAACTCCCAAAATATGAATATGGACAACTGAAGACTCAAACCCTGGGTACATAGCTCATCTCTCATGGAAGCTCTTTCGTATCTGCTGTTTTCCATATCCCTCATGGTAAACCTTCCTTACAATTTCACGGCAGAGTCGCTTCAGTGTTGTCAGATCCTTTTGCTTCTTTTCACGCTAACTTTAGATCTTCCTTCCTGAACCCCTCTATATCATCCATAAACACAAGTACTTTCGATAGCACAGGCCCAAAGCTTAGGTGTGACAGCATCAGTTGATAACATTCCCATTGAGTTATCATGAAAACGGATAATTCCAAATCTCCTTCCTAAACTTTTCTGTACTCTGAAAGCAGCCTTCTGAGAATTAAATTTCTTTAAAAAAAAAAACTTTCCGAAAAAAATGTGTGTTCTAACAGTTGGAACGCTGTATTGACACAATGGCTGACTCCTGCAAGTAACTCTAATAAATGAGAAAAATGTTCCTTTTAGAACGTTCAAAATAACTTGGTCACTCACTTTTTTTAGGTTTTGTTACCTTCCTAAACAAAGTCTCATCATACAGGAGACAAAATCTGCATGCTGTGCGGCAGACATCCCACACTCCTTGCTTCCGTGCAACTTTTGCCAAATCTGCCCAAAGTCTAATTCTATCAAAGAAAAAGGATGCATACAATTATTTTATAAGCAGAATTATTCTCTACATTTTAGGATCCCTTAAAAAACATGTCAATTATAATGGCCAACATAAATCTAAAAAAAATTATTATGCAGTGTTAATAAATGTAAGACACTTTTATCAGTAGCAAAGATAACATAAGTAAACTGGAGTCTAGCTTTCCCTTAAAATGCAGAAGGAATAGAGCCATTAATTATTTTATTCATTTTAAATCAAAAATCCTTTTGGCTTATGAAGAGGGGGAAAAATGGTTATGTTGGATAATAACTATACCGAAATTTCAAAACTTGTTCGTGGTATAGCCCTAACTCTCCCGCTTACAGAATAAAGTACACTAAATTAAAATTAATATGCTCCATTTCAAAACCAAGGTTGACAATTTCAAAATGCCTCTTGAAAACAAGTTTAGAGTTCAGTACACTGCCCTAGAAATGTTTAGTAAAACATGTAGCAAAAAGAGAAGCATTGCCTTCTTAATAATAATAAAATAAAATAAATACTTCAAAAGAAAACTGAGATTTTCCTACAATTGAATTCTTCCTGCTCTCAATATGGACCAAAAAAAGATGGTTTCGTTAACAAAAAAGACATAGCGTGCAGTGACCATGCATGAAGAGACACTTCAGGAATGTTTCAGTTGCACATCAAGTTATTCAGTCTTCCAGCTTTAATCCCCCAATTCGTCTGTGTGTTTATTTCAATAGGATAGCTGAGTTTTTATGTGCATGTGAGAGAGAGAAGAGAAGAAGAGTAAGAACATGATTATGCCTACTATGTGAATGGAATGGAACTATTCAGACACAAAGCTAGATGCTTTGCCAGGTCTGACTGAAGCGTTCAGCCTCTCACAAGTTATGTCCAAGTAACTTAAACGCTGCAATAAGAACTCTTACTTATTTTACACATTTCTACACAAAACATAAAGAGACAATTCTTTTCTGTGGTAATTACCGTTCTTTGTCATTTTCACTTCCCGAGCGTTTCAAATGTCCATCAGCTTTCTCCACACTTTTAATATGATGTTGTGCTTTTGCACAGAGGTAACTTATCTGACTCCTACTTTTACCTGAGGACACTTAAGAAAGAAAAAAAGCATTTAAGGCAATTTTGAAATACTATAGCTGAAACAATTCACGTGAAGGGAATTCATTTTCATTCAGAGCTAGTTTCTGAACCATTTGAAATCCAGCCCTTTTTTCGGTCCTTCAAGCTTTCCCCAAAACAAACAAACAAAACAAAACAAAACCCACATCACTCTCTCTTCCGTTTTTTCTGTCTCTTCAGGTATAAATGTCACGTGCAGAAATTGACTTACACCTCTTAGGCCCCAAAATATCCAAAGTGCCACTTTTCTGGGAGGACACGGATTGCTCTACTCAAGCCCCAATCAACAGGAAATGGATTTAGTAACAATCAAAGCTGACGTTCTTGCTGTATTTTAAGAACACTGATTCATTCAAATGCATTTTTCATAGGTCTTAAAGGTATTTTTTTTAATTCTAGAATACCAACATTTGTTATGCTTAACCAACAAGATACAACTATTTGGGCAAAAATATTAAACAGAGAAATAACCAACAGGGACAGAAAAAAGATGCAAGGAAAGAGTGAGCTGGGTCTTAAGGTAGCAAAGGGCTCCAACGACACAGATACATCAAAAAAAGATCATTTTTGTGGCATAACAACAAAAAGGAGATGCTCTGTATTAGAATACACGTAACTTGGTGTGACTGGAAAATGTGATGAGTTTGGACATTCCCTTGACTCTAAGCTATAGTCCCCGACATAACCTAAACTTAGTAAACTTTAATTTCATCTCTATAAATAATCTGCCATGTAATGGCAATAAATACACAGAAATATAAGAATTTCTGATATTAAAATATATGTAAGCAGGTTCACCGATATTAACTATGTTCACTTAAAATGAAAAGGGGAAGGTATAGTTTCTTATTATTTTTGTTCAAAGTACTTTGCGATATATTAGCCAGCTAATGATAGGGTTGTCTTACGTAACTGTATTCCCAGATCCACTGACTGAAACTGTTTAGCGTTAATACACAATGACATTGATATCACAGAAGGTTGTAGGGTAAAGAACTGCGGATTTAAAAAAGCATATTATTTTCTGGATCTGTGGGACAACTCCTTCAAGTAAGATAAGCATAGGCATCAAAAAAGAATGAAATGCTGATGTATTTATCTGAGCACTGTACGTATGCAAATATGTAACTTAAAACAATCTACAAATCTGATGCACTGTCCTATGTACTTTAATAATACAGCTGCTTATATATTTTTTCACTTCTTCAGTAAGTTGGTTGTAATTTAAATGTCATGAAAAAGCAAAAATCTTACTGTCTGACAGCCTTAAGAGCTGTCAAATCTTTCAAAATAAAATTTTACAAAAAGTTTTACCAAATAGAGATAAGGTATTGTAATAATTATCTTTTAATGATCTCACTCCTTTTAACTACTTACATTAGCATTTTAACCACTTACATTAGAAGGCTAGCATATAACAAAGGTTATTCTGAAAAAGTCTGGACGTAATTTTATAGCGGTCAAAATTTAAGAGCAAGTAGAAATACATATACATATACTAATTCTTCTTTGCATAAATATAAAGTGCCTGCACTTTATCAGCAGGCAGTATTTGCTATTTCCAAAGCTTATTTTTAATTTATATAATTTTAATTTATGTAGCAAGTTTATTATATGTTTACTGGAAAGTTTTGTCCAACTCACTTATGTCGTACATGTCCAGTACTAACGACCTAAATCCATCTGTGAAAATGTTTTTAAACAAAATAATTTTCACGTACTTCAACGTAAAGCATGAAGTGGAATTGCTCATTCTGTATGTAACACTCTTACTTTTAAGCTATTAGCTAATCAAGCTTGGAGTCAGAACAGGAAGGGGTAAGCATTTGGGCCCGAATGGAGAGGGCATGAGAGAACAAAACGGCCTTTTGTCAACCCAGCAGACCGCTTTGGCAGCTACAGGACTCCGTCTGCAGTTTTCCTCTTCCCCCAGCGTAATCTCTAAACTGGGAGCACACTGCAAATACTCTGGAGGTTAGTTAACTGGCCATACCTGTTCTACACCGCCAAGATACGAAAAAAAACAGATCAAGCAACATGGAGAATCTGTTCCCTATTGACTCTTCTTCAGTAACAGGCTCTAGAGCCCCAAAATTAAGCTGTTTGTGGCATTAAGAATGCAAATAATTATGAATCCATGTTTCAGAAAGTAAAGTGTGAATTCTTATCTAAATCTCTGTGCGCAATCCATAACCAAGAAACAAATTAGAATAGAAAGACAATCGCAATATATAAAGAATACACAGCGTAGTATGTAATTAGCACGGAGTATTATGAGGGGAAATTTCTGAAATACTATTTAACAATGACATCGGGTAAGAACATCTTCAGGAGTTGCCCAAAGAGAAAATAACATTACAGCACAAAGTGTTATAAAGCTCAGCCGAGCTCCAAGGGGAAAACAAAAGCCTTTCCTCTTATAGCATTATGGCATAAATCTTAAGAGCCCCTAACGAAGTCAACAGAAACTTTGCCACAGCGCTGGGAACTGTCACTCCACCCAGAACCATAACTCTCTCTGTGCATTGCCGCTAGCTATTACGACCCACCTCCAAGACTGGGCACAGCAGTCACAGTCAGGTGTCATAATTTTTAGCTGCGCGCGCGCGCACACACACACACACACACACATATTACCTTTAGCTTCATTTTCACTATCCAGGACTATTTGAAATGAATCAGGAGCTAGTGCAAGACCTGCATTTACCAGAAGGGACCTCTTTTTCCTCACATTATCCTTCTGCTTTCCTTTTTTAGCCTGTGTCAAGAAAAGAGCGAATTGTTATAGGTACATTCACATCTATTATAACAGTACTTATATTTGTATTAAATTGCTACTTAGATACCTTATTTACTAAATATACCAGAATGTAGATCATACAATTTGGTACTTTTTGGTTGTAGAAAATTAGAAAACCTTACACATCACTCACTCTACAGTACTATTGTTGTTGAAAGTGACCACAGAACTTAAGTTGTTCTTGACAGGAATACTTCAAAAGTAACTGAATGCTAAGTATTGTTCATGTTCCTTATGGATCTTCACAGCGTACTCTTCATTGTATAACCTGTCATTACGTTATACTTCCTTAAATAAAGAAAAATACTTATTTAGAAATTAACAATACAGTATTTTAATCTGTGGTGCAATAACTGAACGTTACCAGGAAATATCAAAATTCCTAGTGTACCCAGAGCTGGCGGAAGTTACAGGAGGTCTAAGTGTTTTTATTAGATATAATTAAACAGATTAAGTTCCTTGTGAAGCTTGCACTAAAAAAATTTTAAACTTTAAATTTCTTTGCCCTAATGATAACATACCTATCTTACCAGCAGCCTTCCAGTACTGTGTTTTAAATTCAGTGAATACCTCTTAATTTCTGTGTATATCTCAAAACTGGTATATGGATGACATTTCTTTTAGCCAATTAACAATCATTTGCCATTATGACTTTTGTTCATGTGCAGAGACACCACAACAGAATTAGATGCAATAACTCTGGATCATGACTCTTACTGAGACATTAGATTATATTATTTAGCATTTGTGCTTTCATATTCACATTGTAAGTTTGACACAATGCTGATTTATTCAAAGGGTGGTTAGTTCTCTGGCCACTGCTCCATCATTATTAAAAAAAATTGTCCCATGCAATGAAATCCTAACTGTTGACAACTATGAACAGGCAAAACTGTAAATACCTGAGCTGCCTTTTTTGTAGATGAAAGTTGTGGCACATTAAAAGTTCATTTTTATTTTTGGCAAAAACGAGCTTGGAATATAACTGGAAGAAATCCTCTATCCCATCCTTTAAATATTCAGAGCGTGAAGGAGTGTGACCAGCATAGACGGAAGTCATAGAGCTTGTCAGGACAACAAAATAATGTTAATTTACTGAAAGCAAGCAGATGTTGGCTCCACCAATAAGCATATCTACTAAACAGCTTTCCTCTACCTGAATTTGATAAGCAAACTCTATTTCAGCTACTGAGTTTACTCTTTTAAGATTACCTGTTCAATCATCATTACTGCCTGATCCTCTAGACGCTCAGGGGACCTATACAGCATAGCGCACAAACAAAGGCGGTTAAAAGTCACTCTTAGATGTTCTTGATACTGCCCACTGTTACCCAGACGTATAGCCTTCTGCAAATGGTCTATGGCAGCCTCAATTCTATCTTCATCTTCTTCGATACGAGCAACTTCCATGTGAACTTGGCAACGTAACAAAACCAACATGCTAAGGAATAAGAACTCACATGTAATCTGCTGTAATGAGGCAAAGTAGAATTCTTTAGACCTAAAAATTACCCAAAAGTGTGACTGTAATTAAAAGCGACTCCTGTGTGCAAAAAGACACGCCCTTTTTAACTGACTTGTCTCTTTCATTTTCACTTTTTATATTTCACTCTCTGTTCATGACTTTTAAGTAGAAGAGAAGTAATTCTGAAGATCTAGTCCTGACTGTATTAGCTCAGCACTTTCCAAAGCACGGCTCTAACTTTCACCTCACTACAGGTGTACGCAGCCGCTGCAGGCCGTGTCTTTGCCCAGATGCTGCTGAAGCCACTGTACGAAGTCGGCACGTCTGCAGCGTTCTCCAGCCTCAGGCGCGCTGCGCTCCCTACTTGCGGCCTGCCCAAAAGGCTATTCACGGCAGCTGTGGGGCTGTACGTGTTGCTCTAGCTGATCTCCCGACAGAAGGCAGAAACCAGAGAAACGAAAGCCATGTCACGAAGACCAGAACAAAGGTAAGTTGTCACGGCCTCCGGGATATGCGACGCCACGTCACAGAGCGCGCGCACGTGCTTCCCCGCTAGAGCCAACCTGGCCGAGCCGCACGTGCTGCCCTTATGCTGCTGACCAAGGTAGCTACAATTCCTCTTGCAACCGGAACCAAAATGAAGGGCTTTGATGAGATGGGCAAATTGATAGGGACAAATGACTGATATCAAAGCCACATATGTTGCCATTGTACTCCTTATCTACAAAGTTTCAGAAATGCCTCAGTAACAGTATATAAATACAAAACAGGGACTTTATATGGCCAGTGTACAGCTGCTTCTTCAGGCTTCTGCTTCTTCTTTTTAAAATTAAAAGATTGTATTTTCAAAACATTGAAAACATAGTCCCCATTACTCTGTGAATACCTTGATCAGAAGCTACCTAGTGTTCTGCTCAAATGACAGCCTACGTCCCTTATAACAGTAGCTCCACCACAACAGTTAGGATCTTTCTTCTTAGCAATCAGCAGCCTAAGTATAGGTCCAAATTTAATTAAGAGTCACATACTTAGGCTCACTAGTTCCACTCAATTTGACAAAAAAGGTGAAATTATTTGGGTGCTTAAGGTTAAGTATAGCATAATCTGGGGCATTATAATAGGAAATGTCTCAGATGGTTATGAAAGTATCTAAAAAAATTATTTGCTAATACAGTAGGTCTTTCACTTAAAACAGCTATCACAGAAGATACAGAAAATGCTGTCTTGCAAGGAGCATCTCTTCTGATACATAATGCAGAAGCCCTGATGTTTTTCAAAAAATCAATTTTAATTGTATGTTTTTACCCAGAAAAAGTCATGTTAATACCAGGATCCAGACCATATTCAAGCATATTTACTCATACTGCAGCACTGCAATTTTCTCACATAATTTTGAGTACATACAGTATTTTTTGCTTCCTAACTTAACCTATAATATTTGCTGAATGCTATTAAAAAAAAAAGTGAGATTTTGCTTGAAAGGAACCTAGTTTCAAATGAGGAATGAGGAAATGTACACAATATACACATTAGTTTATTACTAGCTACTGGAAAATTTTCAAAGACGCTTAGTATCATACAGCTTGGGCTTTTAAGTGAGTTTGACGCCACATTTAGATGGCTTAGCCCAGTATTTAGTCCATATTTTCTGTCAGTCATCACAGCTTTCAGAGTAACAAATAAAAAAGTATGTAGCATAGAGAGTTACCTGTCAATCTCTTCCAGGACATCAGCCACTGACACCAACGGCTTTCGCACATGTTGATGCAAATTGTGTTGGAGTAGCGGTAAGCACAGATTCCACTGGGTAGTACAAACAACCTGAATTACATTGGGATCTCCCAGTCGAACTGCATGTTGCAAGGTTAATTCCAGAGTTTTTATCAATCTCAGCTGAGCCTATGCAAGTGAAAAATTACTTAGCATAGATTGCATGTAATAAATATGACTTTTTGTATATTCCTCCAAAGTTTAATCTGAGGGCTGCTTTTCCACAGAAAGTCACCCCTCAGCCTGCAGATTGCTGAGACTTCCCCAAAAGGCAAGTCTAGTTCTAAGTCATGCTTTTGCTTGCTTGCTTGCTTGCTTGTTTTAAGTCTTAGACTTAAAGAATTTAAGAATTCTTAGAATTTCTTTTAGGTACTCCATGCTGCTACTACACATTTCAGGAAGAGGTCTGTCAGCTATTCCCCTTTTTCATGATAAACAGAAATTGATAATTGTGAATTGAGAGGGCTTTCCCTCTCGTTTAGGTACTAAGCTACAAATGCAGCGCGCGATGGGAAAAAGTATTATGAACAGGTTTTGACATACTGTCATTTAAACTATGTTCCTATTAAATTTGAAAGCAAATACTTACTTTTGTAAGCAGACACTAATTATTAAGTTCTTTATGGAGATCACACAATAAATAAACCAACAAACAGTTGCATACACCATGATAGGGACATTTAGAAATACCTAAATGTCCTATATTTTATTTAAGGGTATTAGTACGCTTTCATAATCTGAAGGATACATGAAAATATGAAAATACAAAAGATGTAAAACAGGAAAACACAAAAGGTGACTGGCATTTCTGCATCCCAAAATAAGAACACTTATCGATAAGATTAACTTTATGCACTAGCGCTACTGATTTCCATGTGGCATACTCACTGTTTCTACTTTAGGAACTTTAGGTATCTCTATTAGCCGTTCTAAATTGCTCACTGAAGGCACCTAACTAATCGCATTCATAATATTGTCACTTTGGGCTCCTAATTTTGACGCTCTGAATCGTAACCGAGTCATCTGACTCTAGAAGTCTAAGAAAATCCTCACCCATGTGACAACTGCTCAGGAATAACCTGCCATTTCTCTGAAATAAGAATTTGTATGGTATCGCCGATAATATGCATTAACACACCTCCTGTAAATGTAAAATATGAAAACAACAGAGTATTGTCTTTGCATGCCTCAGTCCAAATTCTTTCTTGTGAAGTAACATATTTATGACCCTCTTCTCTCAAACTGAACGCTTACGGGAGGAGCACATGACTGCTGCTTGTTTTTCTCCGTACTCTTTTTGGCAGCCCAGTTGGAAAGAATATAAAGTTTAAAATAATTCCATTTTGCTGCTCAGAAATTAAGACACACGAGTTCAATGCAACTTTCCATGTTAAAAAAATTAAAACTTACATTTTTCTCTCCAAGTTAATGTTAAAGAACATACCTCAACAACTCCTTTGGTATAAGTCATAATTTTAGTGCCAAGTTTCTGGACTTCATATTCACATTCCAAGCACTGTATTTCAATAAGTCTCCCTGGATCCTATGAAGCATTAATGTACAATATGCCACTTTTAATAAATAAAAAGGAACATGATACAGACTAAAATCATGCGAACAATCACACTCCACATCCTACTTTCTTACTGAAAATCCCACTGTATTAGCTTATTAACTGGAAAAGTAAAACAGGGTTAGAATTTGATGTTTGAATATTAGCCACTTTAATTAAGTCAAAGTTGCAAAATATCTTTATTGGGGTTTTTAAAAGTTGTTCATTGCTAGCTTTGCAATGAGAAAACTTTCCCTATGATACTGTAATTTGATTTCCATTCCAGCAGATTCTTGCTTCATAGAGGTATTAAAGAGATACATGTTTGGAATAAACAAGAACTAGTTGAGTCAGAAAGGAATCATCTTGATACATCATGCAACTTCTAAGTGAAAAAAAGAGGTGAGATTTTAACACTTCCGGAAAGCTCTAGCTATTAAATCACACATGTCTCAGATACTTTACAATTGGTTTCCTATGGAGCAGTAAAGAAAGCCAGAGACCATCTCCATTCATCAGTCATTATGCGCTGTTATCAAATTGCTCAGTGAGACCTTTGTCATTTTAACATCCCTATGCCTGGAAAATAGATGAGATCTTGTAAAACTTAAATGAATGTAGCACTGCTAATATGATGAAATGACAAACACCGTGGCTGTATACACAGACAGAATTTGTTACGGCTCAAAAATCTGTTGGCATTTGGCAAAAGGCAAAGAACTGGAACTTAATACAGATTTCTCTCACTCTGCCATAAAGGCGTCTCAGTTAAAACAATGCCTGGCAATCTTAAGATGGTTATTTTTGTTCACACTACTTCCAAAGGAGAAGAGAAGACTGAAATAGAAGCAAGCCTCCCCCCTACTGCTGCCATGGAAGGATACTTGCTATTGCTGTCTATACAAATACTCAAACTAAAATCCTCATGAATCCTTGATCCAGAGTATTTAAACATATATTCCAGCCTAATACTATGGAATTGTATGTAACCTTAGATTTGGTGGAACTTTTCAGGAAAAAAAGGGGCTTGAGGCAGACATGTGGAATGGAAAATTTCAGTGAGGATAGGTAAAATCTATCAAGTTACAAGTAATAGAAAGTAGGATCGTTACAGTAAAAAGTTGGAGTGATACGTTTTGACAGTATTTGCCACTTACAGTACATTTGCTTACATGCATATTTCGAGCAAATAAAAACGTACGCATGAGCTCAAACACCAGCAGGCACTCTTTCATACCTTACTATGCCTGAAAAATTTATGCATTCTCTGAAAACAGTGGAGAATAGCTCTGCCTCCCAACAGGGAAGGAACAGAAGAAAAACAAAGCTCAGATCTGGCTGGAGGTTAAGAATCAACAACGACATAATACATGCAAAGACCAGTTACAGGGGAGACCACACAAAACTTCCATCTGGGGGTATGTTTACAGTATCTTTAGAATATAAATATTACAGAAAATTAAAACCTATCAAACGTTAGCAAATAAATCAAGTAACAACTTGCTGGAAAAGGAATCATTCCTCCTGAAGCAAACAAGGAAATCTGTAGGAACAAATACTATCAGAATAAATCCACACAAATGAAAGATTAGGAAATGAAGTTTGCGGCACAGTATTTCTGGATTTCTCTTTTCAGTGAAGGATCAACTGTGGTAACTCCTACTTTTGAGAAAAAGTAACAACTTGGGGGCTATTTTCTGGCAGGCTTTTTGAACTGCTCCATCCACCAGCCCCCTAAGCGTGGTCCACACAAATGCTCTGTTCTCTTCTCATCAAAATTAGGATTCACATGCTGTTCCTCAAGGTTGATGCTGTATTTATGAAGACCAAAGTGAATGAATATAACATTAATTGCTTTTAGAGCTGACATCTTGGTGACTGATTACAATCTCAATGGGTGGACTGGTTAAATCTTCAAAAGGTGCAGGCAACATTTAAATTTCAACTCAGGAGCTAATTCCAATCAAAGAATTCCACAGAAGACTTTTTTAAAAATATAGGCAAAATTTACGGTCAACATTCATTTGCAAAAACTTACTCTACTGCTAATTATTCTATTCTGCTTATTTTCCACTCTCTGACCATCTTTTCTCAAGTTTACAAATGGATCACCTGTGCAAGTAACAATTATTAATCAATATTATCAGAACTATAGAGATGGACAGTAGATCTCAGAACCATCAGTATTATTACTGAAGTACAATTACGATGGAAAAAAATCAACACTAATACTGATACTTACAGTAATCCCAGCTCTCTTCAAATCAAGTATACAATCATAAGCAAGCTTGACGCAGTTTGCTTTCACGGAAAAACGAGCCAATTCCAAAACCAAAGGAATCCTTCAAAAATAGAAGAATGTCACTTCAAATGAATCTGATATTGTTCTTTGACAGAATTAGAGTAATGCCATATGAAAGTAACTTCATCAGTGCAATATATTTGGGACCCTTGAACTCATCTGAATATCAGAGGGCATGTGACTTAATACTCACAATGCTCATAACCTGTGAGTAAGGCTCACAGTACAAAGAATGAAGAGGGCTAAATGACAATTACAAAAAGTCAGCTGGTTTTTGGAAAATAATTCGTGTACTTTAGCACAGGCTTGCAAAGATTGTTTCTGAAGAACAAAAAACACAATAAAAAATGAAACACATTCAACACAAAGACAGTGAAATAGCACACACAAGTTACATTACTGATAATTCTGTAAATACAATGCCATCAGCTGGCACACATCTTAATATAATAAGGTACAGCGCTCAACTGCTCAGTAACCAAGAACATATCTCTCTCTCTCTCTCGCACACACGCACACACACACACACGCACACACGCACAGCAGAAGACGGGATTCTAAATGTTAAGACTCTCCGTAAATAACCAAATAAACATAGCATATTGTCTGGACTAAGAGAAGTAATGAGATACCTGGACACAGTCAGAGAAGACAGATTTGGGGTAAAAATGTAATATTACTTCCCGATGAAACAGTTTTGATATAACTACTGCAATACAAAGTTCATTTTTTTCTGCATTACAAAATTATGCTGCAGAATTGGCAAGGGCCCAAAGAAGAGCTAAAAAATAACTAAGGTCTGAGAAACACTTGTCCAACTGAAATCTAAGACTTTTTAAAATCTCATTTATCAACAAGTAAAGGTTAAGGAAAGATTTAATCATGATATACAAACAGTTATACAGAACAAGATATTTAATCTGGGGCTCTAATCTAGCCTAATAGGTCCTTCATCTTTTTTTAGATCACCTAAGCATTAATGCAATACAAACTATTTTAATGACTCCACTTTCTTCAAAGGCAACGGGAATTTTGTCAGTGACTTCAACAGGAACAGAAGCACGTTCAAATTCAACTTTCAGGGGGCTGTGACAAGTGAAACTCACTTTTTATGGAGAACAGATGCTGGAGGTACATCATATTGTTTCAGAAGTTCATATACAGAATTCAGATTTGTGGTGGTGTCACTTGGAAGGTCATTTGTGTGCCACTGCCTGCAATACATTAGGTATTGATCATAATTTTTCATAAGACAATATTTCATATTTTAAATGCAGCATTTCAGATTTTTTATTCAAAGTCATAACTTTATAATGGATGGTTCTTAGCCCATGTAAGTGGGATATCTGGATTATAAAATATCAAATTTAAAAAAAGTATCACATCAGCAATGCCTACTTAGTATTCTGAGTAAGTCACTCAGTGATGGCGAGATATCAAGGAAGGACACTCCAGAATGAGAATTAATATTTCATGTGGTAAATTTTAATATAAAAGCAAGGGAAAATAGCTAAAATCCTTTCCTCTGATATCAACATAAATTATTTCACTATTACAAAAAACAGAATTAGTGCTTTAGAAAGGGGAAGTGTTGAGACTCTGAAAAAAATCAAAGAGGAAGTTATGAAGTCTAATTTTCATAATTGCTTCATGCCTTTAAAGTTTATAACTTTTTAAAAGGATATGCTTCACATCCTTGTGACTCATTCATTATACTTTGGGTGTGATTTCCCCACTTCATCTTCACTCTCGTATGCATGACTTGTGTACTGAACTGTAATTTCATGGACACAGCAATGTCTCAGCCTCCTTTACTTTCTTTTAGTCTGGAATCTCAGTACAATCTACACGCTACTGCACATATTCCCAAATAACTATTTCACCTTTTAACTGAGGCCTTTTTCAGCACTGGACTGAGTCGCTACTCACAATGTCATTCTAGGTTTCTTTTGGATAACAATCTTCGTAGTGGATTTTTCTACTGAAATAAGAGAGACCAGTACTCGACCCTACATCTATCAAGCACCCCCTATCAAGCATCATCAATCAATCAAGCACCCCCCCATCAAGCACCAAAGTACAAGTGGAAGGATAGATTTTAACACTTACAATTTTATCATCTGCATTTTATAAATAATTGACAAATGGATGGAATTTTCTATTTCTTTCTCTACCTGGGAAATATCCATTAGCTGGTGATATACCTATAAAATAATAATTGAATTATTAATCAACTAAATAAACCAACAAAGGACAGGCACTCAGATAAAGCAGGTAAGATAGCATAGTAAGATAAAGCAGGTATGCTGACTGCAGACTTTTGCATGAACTCTAAGAACACTGAAACTACTATGATAACCTGTGCTGTTCTGCATATATACCACAAAGAACATCACCTCATAGAACTATACTAATTTTCACATGCTGATGATCAGAAGTATTAACAGAAATCTCAGTGTGGAACTAACATCTGAGTTAAAATTCCAACTAATGCACCTTCAGTAGCATTTTATGATAGCACTCATTCTGAAATCATCTCATCCAGGCACAGGAAATGAGCCCTATTCAAATATAGCTGTAACTATAAATTAAATATAACAAAAACATAAATAATTATAATAAACTGCAGTCACATCAATTTAACTGTACAGTTACATATTAAACATATGCACGCACATCTTTTATTCTGACTTGCACTGACTGCCCACAGTAATCACCTTCCACAGTCTAACAAAGATGGCAGTATGATTGCCGCTCTTCATGCTTTTCCTGTAAGGCTAGTCTAGTCAATCGTTTTGCTTTTCACTGCATCTAGACTGTGAGGAAGGCTGAGAGTCCATATATCCCAAACATTGTTTAAAAATTATTTTTAGATATGTCCATTCCCTGCGTGATTTCCTTTCTTCCTCCCCCCTTATCCTTCCCCAAATATTCTTCCTCTAAGATTCACCTCTGCGTATGCTCTGCAAAGTACTTTTTCCCCCAATGTAACGTTACTTAAACTATAGCAGAACAGTAAGTTATTGTACAATTTAAGTATTCTACTACTAAAGCACTCAACAGGGTAGATTAGACTTTTGTAGCCCTGCTGAGATACAATTGCCCAGGTGCAATTTTAGAAGAACCTTATTTTTCTGTTTAAGGCCACTGTTAGGTAGTTTAGTTCAACAGCGCTCATAAAAAAATACAAAAGGTATGCTGACCTTGCCTAAATGTTATCGCTTCATTAACATCACACCTCTGAAGGTCCTACATTGGTTCTCTTCATTCAAGTATGAGAGAACACCTATTTGAAATACTCTTTTGAAACATAATAATTGGAAATTTAGCGAAATATGACAGCAGACTTTGAAGCAGGGAAGGAAAAGGAACATGATTGCCTGTAATTCCCAAGCCTTATCTAACACTATGGATTCACCTACTTCTGCTCGTCATGATGCGAACTAATATCCCACACTCTGATTCCCAGAACTCTTTATGGGGGTCGGGTTGGGCCATTTGAGTATTTTTCCACATAAGAAAAGGCAACAGAAGCTAAATAAAGCCTGGCACTTGTATTTCCAATGGCATAAGGCAGGTAAAGTTACATCCGTTACACCTACTGTGTTAACTATACCCAAGCAGAATTATTTGTAGGGATATCAGTAGTCATCCCTGTAATACTATGTTGCAGTAGTATAAATACCATGGAGCATCTTCACCCTGCAGTTGGGAGCTCTTTAGCTTGCAGTATGGAAAGTGTAAAAACTGTACACTGTATCATTTGGTAGTTACAGTGTTTGAATACAGGAATCAAAATATATAATAACTATAATGATCTTCTGAAACGTAGCAAAGCTCTCAGCTTTAGGAGTTTAATATATTTTACAGTATTACCATTAGAGCAAATATTTGCGAGTATTTATCCGGAGCGTTTTCTTTAATAAAGATTGCTGCAGTAGAAGAAAATTCTTCCGCTTCTTTCATTTCTGAAGCATCAAGGAAGCACTCAAGTAAATTGCTGCAGATCAAATGAAATATTTGTATTAAATATTTACTAATGCTTTCACGTTACCCAAGAAAAGTTCTCATTCATATTTTATAGAGATTCTATATATTCAAGATTCCACTCCTAAATTCAGCGGTATGCAAGTGATTACTATTATGCGCATTGACTCCCAAAACAGAGATATTCTCTAACTTCTATGCTTTTGTTTCTTCCAGAAGCCTATACAGCTATTAGTGTCCATTTATTACAAACAAAGTCGTGGAAAAGGAGATTTTTGTGAACACTCTTCACAACAGGCCCCTAGAATTAAAACAATTAATGATCTGAAGTCATAAGAGAAAGACATTTCAGTAAGCTGCATTCTAAGATTCTCCCTTAACTATTTTAAAGGTTAGTACCTTTCTGCTATACCCATTATGGCAAAATTTATTTAAATGTAATATACCCCAAAAGTATTAATTTCTGCAGTCACTTTAGATACAGCAGATATAGCAGAAAGTAACATAAGACATGTCTATTAAAAAACTCTGTAGTTGTAACCGTCTTTTAAAACAATATTTAATCAGGTTTCCATTTTCTTTCACAAGCCATAAGGACTTTTTAGTCATGCTTAACGAGAATATCCTTGAAATTAGGAAAATAACTACAATGTAACTCTTCAATCATTATTTTTCTTTATTAGATATCAATTGCTAAAGGTGCTGACTAGAATTAATTATTTAATCCAGCGTAAATTATACTACACTTGCTTCTGAACAGAAGAGCTATGCAGAAAAAACTAGATATTTCTTATGTATGACATGACATTGGCTGACACAAATTTCAGTTATGACATAGATGGAAATGCGGAAGTAAGGCATTTCTATCAGACTCTAGGTTATTAATCTTTTCCCTAGTACTACCTGACTAAGTATTATTAGACTTCAAAATTTAAGGCTTTTGCATAATACTTAAAATATATTTTCTGAATCCCTTCCACCCTTGTTTGGAAGTTTAAATCTTGAATAACAAAAATCTGTTGCTTTAAATCTTAATAGCCTTGTTTATGCAAGTTACTCCTCCCTCTCATAACTTTTGGACTCTTGTTTTGAATAAGACTAGTTAAAAGAAGACCTATTTCATCTAAGTTTTGACACATCCGGCCAAGTGGTTATTCAAATTAGTAGGAACAGCCTTTCATTTAATATTGCAAACAATATCCTTCAGGTAGGACTTGTAGCCTAACTGCCCCTGCCATTAACATTTTAACCTCCAAGTACATATTAAAACAAAGAACCTTTTATAATAATATGTGCATATTTACATATCTTTTAAAAGTCATGGATTACAAATTCTATAATAAATATATTTTAAAAGCTACCAACGAAAAACACATTATTAAAGACTACCTCAGGTGGCAGCCACACGCACAGAAGGACTACAGAATATCGATAAAAAAATACAGCTGGACTTACATCATGAGTTCTGCTCTCCATTCAGTGTCTTGCTCTTCAGTTTGGTTTAACGCTTTAACAATCTGAGATAGGCTGGGAATAAGGCAATAACGGAATCCAGGCTTAAGATAAGGCCTCACAGCTTCCCAGTAAAGGACTGAGGCATTATACACCAAAAAATAATATCTGAAAAACAAAAATCAAGAATTTAGGATTTCACAAATTTTGATAAACATAAAATTACAAAGTAAGTATTTCAAGACACTTCTAAGAAACAACAATTGGAACTTTTCCCATGTGTTTAAGATAACAATTAATCCTGACTCAGAACTGAGGGCATGAGTACTAAATTAAAGAGCAATAAGGTAACTCTTAAGATTACGCTTTATTCAGTAATTAACTAACTACTTAAATAAGCTAACACAGTGCTCTCCTTCTCTAGAGCATAAATATAAAATGAGAGGAAATGCTCAAGTCTTCCAGGCCTAAACACGCTGATCCATTGTCTCTATAATATTATTCCAGTATTCTTCTTACTGCTTAGTTGCAGCACAGCAGTTACAGAGGTGCAGCAACACAATGGAAGAAGAATCCACAAAAGCAAAAAAAAAAAAAAATAAACCCCACCAAACTACCCAGTTAAAATATGAGACATAATCAACTATGAAAACCTAACTCAGTAACATTTCCTCAGATTTAAAGAGTAAACCCAATCAGTAGGGCCTACCTTGGATCATGCATTGCAAAGTCTATTGCTTTCAAAAAAAACATCACAAACTTTTCAAATTCTTCCTAAAATAGAAAAAAAATTGTTTAGGCAATTTTGGTATCACCTTTATAAGTCACCACTATATTATTTTCATATTTCAGTATGTTCATATCTCTCTTTTTTTATTATTTTCAAGCCATTCTCAAATAAAACTTGTGACCGTAATCAGGACTGGTAACACTGCCTACTACTATGTTTGCCTGATTTCAATGTTTAAGACTATATTTCCAGTTTCTTTCATTTCTGCCAAACTTTATCATTAGGACTGAAGTCGTCCAACAATCCAAAGCTGAATTCCTTTTTTTTTTTTTCTTTTTTTAAAGTTTTCAGAAAAGAAAGTTCAAATATTGCTAAGACCAAAGCCAGGAAAATCATATTGGTTCATCGTGTTAAAAAACTTCAGGTGTTATTTTCTCTGTAAAAGTTCCAACAACCCATGCTCACAAGAATATGGCAAGAGAATGGTGTCTCATGCATTTTCCTTTTGTCTTTTCCCTGAAAAAAGCACTCAAGTTGTAAGTCTTTTGCAACTCATCTATGTTCTCAGTGACGTCTTGGATATTAGCTATCAAATTTCTTGGTGTTTCTATACACAGTGAGCAGGTTCCTGCTTGGACCTTTCCCTGTAATTGCAAAAGGCTATACTGAACCTCTTTCTACTGAGACAAGAGGTCCTTCTCTATGGTTTCTCTCTCACAGCCAGTCAGCACCAAGAGAAGGACTTGGCATGAGTGAAGGTGATCAGGCAGGACAGGGGAAAAGTGAAGAAAGTAGAAATAAGTAGCTTAAAAGGTTGGACAGAAGGATGGGATACTTGCGAAATGAATTGGATATTAAGAGCACAAATGATGATAGGAAAAAGCATGGGCATTAGAGCAGACTGGAACTGACTGGGGAAGAGACTGTGGCTGAGAACCAAAGATGATAAAGGGGTGTAACGGGAAAAAAAGCCTATGGTGAAAACAGAAGGTACAAGAGGAGTACTAGAAATGCCCAGGCAGACGATGGGAAAGGAGTTGGGGAATGTGAAAGTTGGTGAGGAAGAACGAGATCGGGAGACACTACAATCTGGAAACATAAGGAATGGATTTGTGAATGCTTGAGAGAAAGATGCAGTAGAAATGGAAAAAAGAGAGGAGGAACTGGATGGGCAAGAAGGGGATGATGCCAAAGGGCTCTATATAGTGTGACAGAACAGAGCAATTGAAAAAGCAGTAAGAGAGTTGAGACTGACTACTGGACTCTGGGACTGGCACAGAGTCTACAGAGCAGTGAGCTAGGCAAAGAGAAGACGAGGACCCTTGAGGTACTGGGCAAAAGCAGAAAGCCAGACTTGGGCTCTAAGAACAGAAGAGTGCTCGTCAACTAATAAGGATTCCCACAGGATGGAGAACAAATTTACTTGTTCTCGAAATGAATGAAGGTTTCTAGTGCCACATCATGAGAAGTTACGATACAAAGTGTATCTTGCAAGCACATCACAGTACATAGCACAAGAGAGCCAAGTCAGGATTGCGCAGGCAGGCGTGGTTCTTAACATCCAAGAAATTAGCAAGTCAAGAAGAAAACAGCAAAATTGGGTGAGATTTAGAAAATGAGAAAGAACAGAACATACTTTGTTTTTTTCATTTAGAAAAATAAAAGGCTACCTGGGAATAAGACAACAGTTTTCAAATACATATAAAGTTATATAGGGGCCACTGATCAGTTGTTTTTCACACAGAAGGCAGAGGTGAATATAGGTAAAGATAAGATGTTAGGGAAAAGTTTCTAACTTAAAAGATAATTAAAACATTATTCAAGGAAACTACAGGAATATCTATCGGGGAAATTTGTAAATACAAACAACGCAAACATGTGGTAAGGCCATTTTAGGTCAGGTATCAATGACAAATTGTGAAAGCATAGCGATCACTGCACCAGAAATAGTGAATTTCTGACAACAGAAAACAGGTCCCACTTCATCTGAAACTCAGCAGGAGGTGAGAACCACTACATCACGCAGGGATGCAGTATCACTGCAAATTAGCACCTAGAAACTTCGAGAACCAGAAGCATCTGCCGAGCTCCTACCAGCAAGCTCAATCTCTAATGTCAAAAAGCAAAAGACAAACCGAAGTACTACATTTAAAGGCTACTGATCAGTGTTGGAGGCACTCTTAAATCTGCCACAGAAGAGAGAAATGGACTGCACGACCTCACTCAGGTCTCTGAGGGCTGTAGCCCTCCATTTCCTTTGAGTCCGCAAAATATGTAGTGTGATCTCAAATAAAAGATGGTGCCATTTTTCTAGTTAAAAAGCTAAATTTCATCTGAAGATATACTGACATAAAAAGTAAAAAGGTTGACTTTGAAACAATCAGCCTTCTGAAAATTTTTCCATGTATTTTTTCCCAAAGTATTTGCAATATAGCCCAATTCAGCTGATAGCTTTGTTTACTCCCAAACTCCCCATTAACATACTTTCATATGATTTTTCCCACTCTTGTATATTTTAAAGGACTGAAATCAATACATAAATACCCAAGAAGAAATATTTTTAAAATTGGACGTTAATATAATGTGCCCTTCATAATTTCTCACCAAATTATCAGTAGAGAGTGGAGTGTGCAACTGGCCTTGGCACAAGTATGCTCTGCCGATGAATTGGTTTACAGGAAATCTTCCTTTAAAATACATCTGCAGACAGTCACTGCTCATTTCCAGACACCCCAGCTAAGATCAAAAAAAAAGCATTTTAATATTTAAAAAAATACAACAGATAACTGGGCAGGAACTGTTAAGTTTTTTAAAATGCATGCCTACTCAAACAGTATAACGTATAACAGCATATCTATACACAGACAGTATAGCATAAAGCTGAATACCAGATCTAGTACAAAACCATTACGATTTATTAAAATCTGAAGTTAGACCTTTTTCATTCCAAACATGTAGGCTCCTTTATTTAACTCCTGAGTTTCAGTCATGGAACGCCTTACAGCATAAAAAAGCTTTCTGCTTTTTATAGCCATTAAGAGAATTGTTAATATATAGGCAAAGTTCTTAGCAGAAATTTTTACGAAGGACAGATATTAGCCTGCAAGATTTTGTACGGATGCCAGTTCTGCACCTCTGTCTCCAGACAACAGATAGAATTTGAGTGGCTTGCAGCTAGGAAATAAAAAGTTCTTTTATTAGCTGAAGCTATTCAAGCTCAGTCTGCTTGAATTCCAATCTCTTGTACCCATGGATTGAAGATTCATAAATATTTCAAAACTAAAAATCTCTATGATGTTTTATAGAAGTCAGCTCAATTAGCAACAATCATGCACCATTGGAACGTTAGTTTTCCTTGCTTTTGCACAGTAGGGACCATCCATGGAAAAATTTTTGTCAATCATAACTGAATTGCTAATGCTAGTTTTTCATAACAAGAAAACAAGACATGGCAAACTATTTTATATTGCATTTTTTGCACCAATTACAAACTTCACAAACCACAGTTTGCTGATTGATTCTAAAGAAGGGATGACCTTGGGAAGAGGTTGAGACTTAACTGAAAATGCCTGTTTAAACAATTTCTCTGCCAAGACAGAATACTGAAATGTAATATTGTTCCTAGGTACTTCTGGCAATATCCTTAAGTAATGACTTGTACCACTGTAAATTACACCTGAAGTCACATAATGTCTTTATTTATTACAGATAAACTGCCTGAATTACCAAGTAAAGCTACCTGAAATGCTTGTTCAGCACATAAAACATACAAGTCAGTGCTGAAGTTCTCTGATGAAGCGAGTGCAGATTTTCCTTGACTGGCTGATTTGATCAACTCATAAGCATTCTTCAAAGCTTGGACATCTGCAATAGAAAAGACTACAGAATGCAGCAAATAAAAGTATGCCTCCAGGCAGACTGAAAGATGTCTGATCGCACGATCTTCCATCAGCTCTATGGCGCACTCTTTCTCTTTTAAAGAAAGGAATTGAATGCTCAGGAAAAAATAAAACAGATGTTGTGCAACGTTAATCATATTGGTAAAATGAAGCATTAATGAGTCCCTTGCAGTTTTACATAACTAACGTAAGCAAACAAGAACGTGAATTATTTCTCAGGCCTGATTCAGTTTCCTCAAGTCAAAAGGACTCTGCAGGGATACAGCAACCCGTGATTAGGTCCTTAAAGCTGTGATATGAGATCAACCTGACTGGAAGAAAAAAAAAAAAAGTTAAAAACATTGTGGTAGGTCAGTTATTTGTTTCTGCAGCTAAGAAGCGCGTCTAAAGCGCTCGAGGGAAAAACGTGTTCACACGCACGCAGAAGCAAAGCCGGTTACGCCCAGGCGGCTGGATGTTTCAAAGAGGAG